ACAGTGCGGTACTTGGGCTATGAAGTAGGTACAGGCGACCTACAACATCGTAATTGGGCGCTTCGCATCAGGAAGCTTCAACGACGATTGTTCACGGCTTCCACGATTGCTTCAAGCGTGGAAAATCGAGTGATGGTCTTAAATTCCATTATCCTACCAGCAATCCTGTTCACGGCTGCGGTTTTCGAAATTCCTGACTGGGCGATCAGGGACGTACAAAATTTGTATAAACAATTTCTGTGGGCACACGCAACCACCACAGAAGCGGGTCGTCACAAGATCAATCCGGGTCTCCTCTTTACTCCGACTAAGGCCGGGGGAGTGGGGCTCGTCTCGGTCGAGGTTGCTATTAAGACACAGCGCACTAAACACGCTCTCCGGTGGCTCACGCAAGCTCACGACAAGTATTTTGGAGCGTGGCGTTTTTGGGCTTATCAGGGTCAGCCGACTACTTCAGCACTTGTTTTGCACGAACGGCCGCGGTCAGGGGGGTGGTCAACCTCTTTGTCAAAGCCGGCCAAAACCTCATTCATAGCGGACATCGACAAGCTCCTGGAGCCTACAGACGACCAATTAAGCCTGTTTGGAGACCGGGTACGTGCGTACACACCAACTCTACTCGCCGGTGCAGGAAGCTGGTGGGAAGAGGATGAATGGGTTCTGTCGTATTACTCGACTTTCCCTGAAGCATTAGCACACACGGATCCCCACTTGAAATCTATTCATCAATTTTGGGGGACGCTTGGATGGAGCAAGAATCCATATATCCGGGATGCACGGGGCAGGCAGTTGCTCGGCTATACGTATGACCGGATCGTACCATGCACCATCTCGGACTTGCGTATTAGACGGACGGGGCCGTCCGAGTTTGTTTTCAGCATACCACTGTCCGGACAGCACGTCACCAATCATTCGCACCCCAAGCTACGACGATGGGCAACTGCGATATTACTGGCATCCCCACCTTTTCGGATCGGAACTGATTTAGCGCTCCAGCCTCAGTTGACACTTCGGCACGCTCCTCCTTTTCGGTATGACTATGACTGGTCGTCCGAAAGCCGGGGTCGCATATCTGGAGTGAGAAGGGGACACAAGGTTCTAGAGGAAGCTCAGGTTCACCTGACGCAGGCGGCCGACGGGTTTCGTTGGTTCTTTACAACAAGGCTTCCTGAACTAGCGACGGATCGTGAAGTGGAAAGGGCAACATGGCTTGAACAACTCCAGCAGCACGGCGTAGTGTTTAACGCTCATCCTCGACATCATCGATTTCCATGGGCGGTCGCAGATGAGGTGCCAAATGCATCCATTCGCACAACACTCTCCCGTCTGTCATTTAAGCTTCACAAACGTCAGCTTTCTGTGGCATTACGTCCACTGCTGCAGCGTCTGGAAGCTGCCACCAGAACGGACACATGGCAGCGAGCTGTAGCGCACCAGCGTCCGTCTCAAGTTTGGGACCATGCACATGGGCTCACAGAATACCAGGTGTGGACTTGCTATCGTATAGCAACCATGCAACTCAACCTTTACCATGAAAATCGCAAAGACGACAATAGTTGTCGCGTACATCAAGCATGTCGAGGGATTCAAGAAACACAGGCCCATATATTCTGGGATTGCCCGAAGGCGCGTGCGTGTTGGGCAAAATTAATCGGTCATTGGACCGGTGAAACTGCGGCAGACCGATTTGGTACTTGCCAATATCTTGGCAGTGCCAATCGTCAAGCCCCAGCTATCTCACCACGGTTGAGACAACGGTTGCTCAAACGGTTCATGGAAGACGTCGAGGCAGGAGTCCACGTCTGGAAACGGATTTGGTTTCTTATGAGTACCATGTGCCTCACCCACTTATGGCAGGAGCGAAACGATGCGGTATTCAGGGGAGTCCTGACTACGACATCGCAAAGTGTAACCCGTTTATGGGAGTCAGGGATACGCCAACTCCTAGCGCTGGCCAAACGTGAACATCGCGGTATTAGTACTGTCGTGCAAGGGGCTCTCTTGCACGCCGGCATCGAACTTTTTACCCAAGCACCTCGAGACATCGAGGTTTCTCTGGGTCATAGTCACGAAACTCTTCCGGATCCGGACTTGATTTCCTGGCTCAGGAGCTTTCAGACATCTTGTACATAATCACGTGTTAATAGACAGTCATGAAATCTCTCTCTCCATTATTTCGAACAATTAACGACTATGACTATGACTGTAAGGATGTCCCGGAAACCGGGACTAATCCGTGCGTGCTCCAAAGAGCCGGGGCAAGGGCAGCGACGGTCACAGACCATCCGTCCCAAGCCGGGATCGACCTTTCGTGACCGCTGATGCGACCAATCGGACCATTCGTGCTAACCGCCGAAGCAGCAGCGCGCGACGCGGAATAGGCTGCCGTTCGTGGCAGCTGCCCTGTTTAGACCGCTTGCGCGACCCCTTGACGTGGAGGGCGGTCACTGAAGGAACTGCAAGGCGTGGGGAACGCCAACCCGCCGTAGTATCTCCCCGAAGAGCTCATCCATCTGCCATGGTGATTCCCGTCGGCCGCTTGCGCGACCCGCCGGTCCACTGCGCCCACACCTGAGACTGCGAGTGCAGCTTGCTCGAGGCCGATCTTACACCCCTCGGCTCCTCTAGGGAGGAATCCGTCCGAAGTGGCCGCCCCCGAAGGGGGTAAGAAAAGACGGGCGTGAGCTGAACCGTGAAAAAAAATATTTGAAAGTGGTCGACCAGAAAATGGACTCAGGATCTGTTTCGGAGGGACCCGCGCGGATCCCTCCAAAAAAAGTGCTGCTGTTTCTTGTCGCGATACAGGAGATGGTGACACGACAGTGTACCAATGGGGACCGCTTTACGCTTCGTACGACAAAGTCAGACGAATGGCTGGCTTGCACAGCGGACCAAGCCTATGACGTGGCCTGTAAACAGCGCAGACGGTACGGTGACAAGTGTCGCACTGGAATTGTCCTCCACTGCGTACACGAGCGACTCAGAATGATACGGCTGCCTTTTCCTCGACAGACATGTTTCTTGGCGCCTCTCACACCTTTTTTCGCTAAAGAATCCGCGCATTCTTGAGACCGGAGTCTGTCATTGATACTTCTGCAGTCAATGCGGTTAGCGTAACTTCCACCAGTGGCCATAATAAGTGCACTACGGCGTTGCCACGACGACTGAGGATGAAGACGTAGCTTTGTATCGCGGATAGCAACAGTCCGTGCCAACGTGTTCGCCATGGACTGAATGGACATAACATAGCGAGTCCATGCAGGACTTGGCCTGTCGCCTCTCGTAGCTCTAGTCATTGAGGCTCTTGACGGTCTGTGGAGATCTGCTGATCGGGATAGACTGCTACGACAGCTGCTTGCAATCAGTGGCTGGAGAGTCGCAAGTGGTCGAGGACAGCACTGATGACCACACGGACACAGCTAGTGACGTAGCAATTCTGTCTACGACATGCATGCCTGCGTGAATGGCTCTCGACAATAGCGGACCGAGTCGGAAGGGCCACGCAGATTCTTCTGAAAGCGCAAATGATCGGTCGTGATCATTGGTGTGACGCAAGTCACATCGGCGACGATACGTCTCACTAATTGACCACAGAAGGGTATGAACGTTACACTTGCAAGCAGCCTCGGCGATGATACGTCTCACTAATTGACCACAGAAGGGTATGAACGTTACACTTGCAAGCAGCCTCGGCGAGGCATGGACTGACCCTATTGACAAAGCAAAAGAGCCACTAAACGAGGATGGGCGACGACGCAGCCCTGAACCGGACCAAGCTATCGATAGATCGTAAGCAAACTGCCTCTTGCTTGACGTTTCAATGCGGAGGAAGGCGTCTGACCGGGAAGCTCACGTGGAACGTATCTCGCTCGCAACTGCCACAATGCCGTCAAAACGTCACTTGGGTGGGTAAGTTATTGCGGTCTGTAACGGCCGGCACAAGCTTTCCGACCTGCACGCTGCCACCCACCCTACAAGGGTGCACCTGATGCCGCACAGGCGCACGACGCTCTAGTAAACTCAAGAACACGGCATAAATCTCTCTATTGAACTCAAGAAACACTGCGCAGACGTCATTGCGTAGTAAGAAAGAATCGACGAATGTGTTGTAACTAACTCAGCAGTTTGCGCGTATTGCTAGCTACGCCATATACGTGTTTGTCGGGCCGTCTCAAGAACGGCAGGCATGGAAGATGACTCCCGCAATGTTCACGAGACTTGAGCCAAACAGTGTTCTCGCGACGTTTGCTCCTGCTGCATTCTGTCCAGCCAGCCATGCGATCAGGCAGGGACACTACCGTAGAAAGTTGTGCGAAAGCAACGCGATGGCAGACCAATCTCTTGACGAGCAAACTATCGTGCGGCCGCCACGACACGCGAGTGCCAGCACTGTCCTTCTAGGCCGAATACATCGCACTTGCTCGTGCACTTGTGCCACGTGGGAGTGAGTCTATGCTCTCGCTACGCAATCGAGTGTGACAAGCGCAACGCGTAGATGTCGTCACGGCCATTACTTTCGCCAACCATGTGGCGAAGCGACAGACACAGAAACAGGTCGCATTAGTGCCGACGGCGTGGCACGAGCGCTTGTGCAGTATCTCTCTCTCTCGAGAGAGAGAGATAGCCCACGAGACGGGTCGTCCCTCCTCGTTCGCGTAGGAGCTCGTGTAAAGTACGAGTCCACGACTCTTTCCCCGACCAATCCAAAGATGCAGTTTACCATCTGCCCGGTCCAGGCGTGCGACACTCGACTGGATCGTGGGTGGCGGAGTCGGTGGCTGAGTCTGTAAGCGTAAAAGACAGTTCGCCAGGCGTCAGTCACCTCACTCAGTCTTTCGGTCAGTCTTTCGGTCACTCGGTCAGTCTTTCGGTCAGTCAGTCAGTCAGTCAGTTCCGAACGTCTCTCGTGGCGCCCACACGAGACGACACGTACACCTGAGCGCCTCGGGGCCCGTCGTCACGTTGTCACGTCGCGCACGAGACAGTCGAGCGACGACGTCATGCCGGACGCGCAGCACGCAGACGACCTCCCGCTCTTCCCCAGCAGCCGCCGCCGTCCGCCCCGCGGCAAGAGCGAACGTAAGTAGCTCTACAGCTTTTCCCCTCTCGCTCTACTGTCGCTAAGTATCGCTTCCCCTCTCTCTCTCTCTCTGCAGTGTGTGCGATGGCCGAACTGGATGAGTACATTTGCTACGGCGACCGCCTGGCGTTTCTCTGCGACGGACAGCTCCTGGCGCTTACGCGCAAGTTCAACTTGACGTACCAGCAGATGGCGCTCTTGGCCACGTCGACAGTGGCCACGTGCGGCCTCATGGGCATTGCGGGCTTCTTCGTGTGGCGCAAAGGGCTCTTCCGCAAGCGGTACGCGGCGCTCTTTGGCGACGAGATCTACAACGAAGACGGGTGCGCAGCGGCTCCGACGGCAGCAGACGCCGTCCCGCCAATCAGAGCAGAGCGCGGACGGCGAGAGAAGCAGTCGGCTGCGACTTTGAGCCACACGACGACGGGCAACAGTGTGGCGGGAGAGCCGGGGTACCCGGTCGGGGGCTCCAAGGCCGCGCATGGCTCGGTGGCCTTTCGACTCTTTGAGTTTGACCCGAAGAAGCAGCAGCTGGTCTTTTCGAGCGTGGGACTGCCCGTGAAGTTCGGGACGCCGCTGGTCGTAGTCCACGCGGAAACAGGCCGCGCGATCAAGTACTTGACGCACAAAGGGGCAGTGACGATCAGTAAACCGCCCGTGAATTTGGCCTTCCACCGCCAAGTGCGCACGAGTCTCGTGGCGATGGAGGAGCCGGCCGTGTCGCTGAGCTCGGCCAAGAGAACGAGACCGCAACCGCCGTCGACGGCGTCGATGGCATTGAGTCAGCTCAGCAGCAATGCCAGTCGAGACGCAGGCCAGTCGACAGCTGAGATTGCCGACGCAACGATGACAGACGATCTACCGAATGAAGAGACTGGTGTGGATGATGAGGCACTGACTGTGTCTGTAGACCAAGCAGATGTGATGATGGATCTGGCTGACCAAAGTCAGGACCGAGGACAGCCGCGAAGCCAGCGGCAAGTGCACGTGCAAACGAGTTACCCGCGAGGCAAAAAGCTGCAGAGTATCTCAAACGGCTCGTCGAAGCCGCGTTCGCGGAGCTGCATGCAGCAACCGTCGGTGCGCTCGAGTCAGGATCGTGCTCAGCGTCGCAGCTGCGACCAGCCACGATCACAACCGCTGGCATACGAACGCGGCGACAGTTCACGTCGGACTTCGACTGACGCGGCTGCTGTCGACAACGCTGACGCACCCACTGTATCGTCCCGTCGTGGTCGTCACCGCTCGTCAGTGTCGTCAGCTCCAGGTTCTCACGGCTCGAGTTCCCAAGCATTTTGTCGGTCTATTTCAGAGTCCTATATGAACATGGTGTCGGACCTATCCGACACTCTTATGCAACAGCGCGACCGTCAGCGCGAGCGTCAGGAGCTGAGACGGCGCCAGAAAGTGTTGATGAAGGACCTGCCCAACATGTCGTTCAGCAATCCTTCTGGCAAGTATTACGTCGCGACTGTCGAGCCAGTTCGGCACCAGACGTCCGGCAGCAACTATCATCAACCTGTGGCACCGGGCGACGAGTACCTGCGCTGGGGACAGCCCATGTCGCTGATTTCCAATTTCAACGGTCGTGCCTGCGGCATTCGTCCTCGTGAGTACTACAAGGACAGCGACCTGTACTTAACGACAGAGGCAACACTGACGACGATCGTGCCGCTACGTGAAGATGGCGATCTCAAGTGTTTGGCGAAGGAGTCGACCCGATTTTTGGCCCATTTGGAAAAGCGCCGGGTGAGTGTGAGCGTGGGCACGTACAACGTGTGGATGATGCCTCGCAAAGTGAGCGCGTTCACGAGTTGTTCGCCGAAGAAGAATACGCGGGCACGTATGATTGGCGATATACTGCCCCCGTGTGATATCTGGGTCTTGACAGAGTGCTTTGACCACCGCGCACGTGATACGCTGCTGAACAAGATGTCGGAGGCTGGCTACTTTTTTTCTCGCCGACGGTAGGCCACAAGCGCATGAAGAAGTCCAACATGCGCAAGCTGCTGAATGGAGGCGTGTTGCTGGCGAGCAAGTATCCGATATTGAGCGTGCGAGTGAAACTGTTTGAAAGTGCTTGTGCTGGTGCCGATAAGTTGGCGGACAAGGGCGTATTGTATTGCAAGATCTTGAAGGACGGGCTGCTGGTGCACGTGTTTTCGACCCACTTGCAGGCGTGGAACGACCCGTTTTCGCGAACAATGCGCAAGACGCAGATGGATTTGGTCGCGAACTTTATGCGTGCAATGGACATTGATGAAGTGAACGACGCCGTGTTGATTGTGGGAGACCTGAACGTCGATTACTGGCTGAACAAGACGAACGGCGAGTACGACGAGATGTTGGACATTTTCGACGCCAAGGATCCGTCGGACGTGCAGTCGCGGAGACTTGGCAATCATGCGTCGGGTGCGGATATGGAGAAGAAGACAGTGGGGGACTTCAAGCACTTGCGCAAGCACAGCTTTGACCCGCGCGTGAATGCTTTGGCCGCCGACGGCTTGAGCTCGGACGGGAGCCTCGAGCTGCTGGACTACATTCTCTACTCGCGCAGTCACCGCCAGCCAAAGACCGCTTCGAGCTGGGTCCAGCCACTGAGTACGGTGACGCCATGGGAGTGGCGGGGGCAACCCCAGTACAACCTGTCGGACCACTTCCCTGTCGTTAGCGAGTTCACCTTTGAGATGTAAGTAGGTAGCAAGATGGTGAGTGGTGGTGGGTGGATGAATGGGCGGAAGGTTGGGCCACGCCTTTGTGTGTAGGGTGATAGAGGCTCTGGCCTGGACAAGGAATGGGTCTGGGTCGAGTCTGTTGGGCGTGCTTTTAAATTGCGGAAAAACATAATATGCATAGGAATTTACCCGTAAGAGGTGGTTGAAATACAAGTTGTCTCGTCCAAGGGGACCCTGTTGCACTTGACGAGCCAACGTTCGGCGACGCCGAGGATTGCCGAGGTGGAGAGGTGCCTTTACAGTTGAACCGGTTCTCCCCACGTCACAGAGTGTGACGTCGGTAGACCCGGCAGCGGTACTTGACGTCCGGATGGATTTTCCACAGCTATACCCTCTTCTGTGCTCTATGTCCAGACCGCCCCAGCTTTCTAGCGCAAACGTTGTTCGTTCAAGGCGATAGTAGCACCGACGAAGGACACAACGTCTATGTGCAAGGACTTGACGCCTGTTCCGTGCAGGGGTGGACTTGAGCGACTGACGATCGCTTTGGGCGGTCAGGACGTTCGCTCAGCTTGTCACCAACTTTGTCCAAAGAGCGTACAATCGTAGCGGCAAACGTTTGTAATTCCCCGCTGGAACAACAACCGGTGCACGAGCCCGTCGTCAAACTTTCGTCACGAAACTCGACGTTCGTCCGCACAGCGCCCATCAAGTGCGTCCGCGCTATAGAGGCAAAAGTAGGACAACGATCGCAGTGGAGAGGCGAGTGTCATGGCAGCCTCGATATCGTACCAGCTGAGTCAAGCTCGACGCCAAGTGTGCGTGACGCACCGCTCCGAATTGCCCACGACCACACAGGTGCTGCCTCACGTCCTTGACCATCAGTACGGCAGCTGCTGATGCTGTCCGTGAGCCCCGTATGCAAGCGAAAGGACTGCCGATTAGATGCGCGTCATCCACCGCACGTTTCCGTCTTCAGTAGCGATTTGTCCATTATACGGGCAGCAATGCAAAGCGTGAAATTTGGGCTTGAGCATTGGGAGGCACAGACAGATCCATCGAACTGTCGTTGGCCCGACACGAGCAAGTAGCATCGCGAGCTCTCTCCTGGTGCCTCCATTAGACTGCCACCGACGCAACGCCCTCGAAGCGGCACGGAAGCGAAGTCGATGCCGGTGCTTCGATCTCGAAGGTCACGGAACATCAATGGACATCGCCAGTTTGTCACAAGAACAACTCATTTGAACTGTACGCAACTTTGCGATTCTAAATTGCAGGCGGGGAAACGCAGGGCCCGAGTTTACAATGACTCGTGTCGGTCTGTGCATGTGTGTGTGTGCATGTGCATGTGTGTGTGTGGGTTAGTCATCGATCGACCTGTGAAAGCCGATCTACGACACTCTCCGGTGTATCACTCGTCGCGTCGTGCTGAAATAGGCAAAAAGGCTCAACGATCGGGCAAGAAAGTTGAGACATTGCGAGGGCTGCTCCAGTCGCCGTACGCTCGTCGGTCGGCCCATCAATAAACACCACGCACACCAATAACGCACACTACTGGCCGCGCCAGGGAGTCAGTCCGTCCGTCCGTCCGTCGTCGTCGTCGTCGTCGTCGTCGTCGTCGCCGGTTCGACGGCCCTCTGCCCCACAATCGAATCCGCCACGCTGCACGCGCTGGTCCCCCGCGCCACTTCGACGCGTCCCGTCCCGAGCCACAGCGGCTGGCGGTCGTGGCGACTCGTCCGTCGCCTCTCCAGCCCCTCCTCGTCTCTGCCTGCTCTCCTGCTCTTCGTCCGCCCCGCACGCGCTCATGAGCCACACGTCGTCCGGTTCGCACTCGCGGAGGGAACGCACCGCCAGCGTCGACAAGACGTCGTCGTCGTCGTCGTCGCTCTTTCGCCGCTTGCAGGGCAAGAAGAGCAGCAGCAGTAGCCCCACAGTCACAGCAATGCCCTCAGCAGTAGCTACAACAGCGCGAGCTACAGCCACAATAGCAGTGGCAGCTCGACGGCCATCGAGTCGCTCGCGGCGTCGCAGCCGCCGCCCCGCCCCGCGCACCGCCGCATGTTGTCGCGCGACCGCAAGCGGCCGATGGTCATCTACTACTCCCCCACTGCTGTGGCGGCCCTCAGCGCGTCAACGGCGACCGGCGCCGCAGCAACTGCGCCACCGACAACGGCGCTCGACAGCTGCACCAGCAGCTGCAGCAGTATGTTCACGGACAACGAGCTGTCGGACGACGAGTCCCCGCGGTCCCGACGCGGCGGCGGCGACGACCGCTTCGACGTCGACGCCAGAGCGGACTTTGCCGCGAGCACCGGCTCGAGGGACCTGCGGCCGCGCGGGGCCGGGGGCGCGTTCTCGCGCATGTCGCAGAGCTTCACGCGCGCGTCCGAGCGCTTGGACGCGTCGGCGGGCGCGCGCCCGAGCGTCAAGTACGACGTGGCGTGGCGCGAGGACGACGACAGCGCGTGCTGCCAGCTGTGCTTCGCCATGTTCACGAAGCTGTCGCGGCGGCGCCACCACTGCCGCGTGTGCGGCGAACTCGTGTGCGGCGCGTGCTCGCAGGCGATGGTGTCGCTCACGGACAAGTTCACGGCCCCGCGGCGCGCCTGCGCGGCCTGCTGCGGCCTTTTGCAGGCCATGGCGCGCGCGGGCGACGGCCGCGTGAAGGTCGTCGAGGCCGACGGGGCCGGCGCTGCGCCCTTCAAGCGGCACCACCAGTCGGCGCCCGTGGGGGCCACGTGCCACTCGCCGTCGATGCCCGCGGCCGTGGCCACGCCGCGCTATCGCGACCGACTGACGGAAGTGCAGCGGGTCATGGCGGCCGGCGAGTTGTCGCGGCGTCGCGCGAGCGCCGAGAAGAAGATGTACGTCATCTCGAGCCGCTGGCTGCGGCAGTGGATGGCGTTCACGTCGTCGGCCTCGAGCTACGACTCGCGGTGCAGTTTGGGCTACGGCTTCAGCACCGACGTGGCCGTGGCGGCGTCTCCCCGGCACAACGTCGACGCCAAGAGCGCAGGCAGTGCGCCGGGACCCATTGACAATTTGTCGCTGCTGGAGCTCTCGGGCGGCAAGTTGGTGCGTCGCCCCGGCCTCGTGCGGGACGAGGCGTTCTCCGGCGACGCCGCGAGCGCCGGGGACGACGGCGCGGACTTTCAGTTGATTTCGCCCGAAGTGTGGGAAGTCTTCCAGCGGCTGTACGGTGGGGCGCCGGCCATTGCAGTCAACTTGACCTGCGCCGACCCGATGGCGTGGCGGATCGACGTCCCGGGGCTGCTGGTCGCCGGCACGAACGCCAATGGCACGAAAGTCCAAGTGCCGCCTGCGGTCGAGCGCGCGCTGACTGCGCGGCACAAGGTCGGGATTGAGGTCGCGAACGTGCGGGATCGGTCGCATAGGGCCCGAACGCCAGTGGCATCGGCTTCGCATCGGTCCGCCGACAGTCGGTGCACGACGTCCAAGTCCAAGCCACAAGCGCCCAAGAGTCCGGCCGAGACGGTCACGAGCAGCGGCAGCAGCAGCAGCAGCAGCTCGTTGAGCGAAGAGAAGGAGCGCGGCCGCAGTCCGAAGCGAAGTGGGAAGATGCAGCTGGAGGACTTGGAAGCCGACGTTGCTGCTCTAGCGGTGGATGTGGCAAAGGCCCCGGCCGTGGCCGAGGACGACATTCGGGCCACCACTTCTGCACGAAGCCCAACCGCTGCATTAGCAGCTTCAGCGTTTGCTGTTGCAATGAAGCAGGCGAGACTGAACGCGCAGAAGGCCATTGACGATCGGGCGTCGCGTGTGATCGCAGCTTAGAGTCGGTGTTGTGAAACAGTGTTGTTTATGGAGCAAGTCAACGCACGCGCTCGAGCGTGTCGACGACCCCTTCGTATCTCTCTATCTATAAAAACATGCACGTTGCGAGTTAACAATGCAAGCAAAGGATGGGTTGGGCTGTCTAGAGCAGTTGGCTTGAACACGACGTGGCCCTTCCCTGCTCGACGGCGCAATTGCCACTGGGTGTAGCCACAGAGTGTGTGTTTGCTCTCGCCCACTATCCCGTCATGTGAAGAAGTTGCACGAGTGAGCCACAGAACGAAAACAGCGCCGACCTCGGACTCGATCTCGACACGAGTGTCGATGTTAGTCGGACACAGCAGAATCGAAAGCGACCCGCACAAGTGCTTGAGAAAAGGAAGAAAGTGCCGCTGCAAAAGTCGGGTGTGTTGCAACTCACGACCTCAATCGGATCAACTTCAGCAGGTGGAAAAAGGCTCTGCACTCTCTCTCGGGATGGACAACACAGCAGATGACGCGCGAAGCAAACGATTGACGTTCGACGCAGTGTGTTAGCTCAAACGAAAGTGAGACAGAGTAACGTCTTGTCGCACCAGCCGGTCGCGAACGGACGTCGAGGACACACGCAGCGTCACGACGACTTTTTGGGACGCTAAAGCTGAATAAACTGTGGACATATTTTCCTGCCTGGCTTGCAAACTATCCCAAAGTTTACTTTCGGGCAAGTTTAGATGGCCGATTCACTGTGTACATTATAAGAACACCCGATCGAGTTTGCTAGGAGCTAACTGTCGATACTGACGTCGTCATTACGTATTGTCTTGCGCTTTGTATCGTCAAATGCCACGAGTCTTGTGTCGTTAATAAGGCTCGACGAGATAGCAGGTATACGAATGAGTGCTTAGCGACGACGTAGTGGAGTTCAATGTGCTGCGAACCTGAAAGAGCGCAACGTTCTGCCGACTTCGTGATCCGTTGATCTGCTCATCGACAGTGCCAAACGTAGTGCAAGACCTAAAGCAAAAGACTTTCGATTTGGACCAATCTTCCTCGCTGGGTATCCCTGATGCCATTACTTTTGGCAAACACCATGCAGAATCAAGGCTCAAGTGACGTGTATTGCATGTACACGTCTTCCTTCGCGCTCCGAATTTCGCATCGCACAATGTGCAGAAGGACTACGTGGCACCTGACCAGGGGCTTTCTAGCACGCTGAGCAAACGATAGCGACAAAAGAGACGTTGCAGTTGCCTCACTATTTTTCATCTTCCATTGCTGACCATGTGCCTGCATGAACGCTGTCTCGGCAGCCATTCACTTGATGAATGCAGACACATATACAGCATTGAGTGGAACACTGCAAAGCGGTTCAGTCCGTAGAGTCGTCTCTGCAACATGCAGTACTTGGCATCCATCCAAGGCCATAAGCAGATACGCGACCTTTGTACAGTCGACCATTGAATCGACCATTGAATCGACTGTGGTCAAATGGGCGCAGCGTCGTAATGCCACTTACACTCGGCAACTTACAGCTCGAATGCAGACTACCACTAGCATCTCGAAGTCGAAAGAATGCCTCAACACACAAAACCCGCCAACTACCGACAAAGCAGAGAAGTGACGTTGTTGTGCGATCCGATTTATACCCTGGCAGCGATCCCGACAACACGCATTGCGACCTGCAGTGCTGCTTCCCTCACGTCCACAGGCCGTCACTCTTTCCTCCGAACATCGATTGCGATTGTCCTTCTGGCTGTCGTGTGGCTCTTCTCTATTGCTGCTCGTCGCGATGAGACCGTCTTCATGCCACCTTCGAAAGCAACCGATGCTACAGCTTCAACGAGAGGCCCAAGCGGCTCGCACGGATGAAAATGCCATGATTCGGGGCGCAGCTAAAGTACTTTTGCCCATCGATCGTGCCGCTGTTCTTGCCCTTTTGCTCACAAAGCTCAATGCCCACCCACGTCCCCGTAGCGAAGTGCGTTGTGCCAATAAAGCGCACCACTCCTGGTACGTTGCCAACGGTTATCAACTTGCCAATGCACGACGGCGCGCCGTCAATGTAAGCCACGTTACTGCCTGAATGACGACGTGCTCCTGGTCCTGAAGTTGCTCGTCGAAGAGCGGGGCTTGGGACGGGGTGCGCTGCGCTGGTGGCGGTCGTTCTCGTGGAAGTTCTTGCAACCGACACGTCGGTCGGTTCGCTCTTTGGCGAGTACAAATCACTCACTGCGTACGTGGAGTCGCTTCGACCGCGACGGAGTAGAGGCGGGTCCACGCTTTCCAGAAGAAACGGTTGCAGTCCGAGTTCGCCCTCGATCTGCGGTCGATGTGGGCGACTTGAATGCTGCCGCGCGAGTATCTCTCGTCGATGTTGGAACGAAAAGGAGGTAATGGGAAGCGAGAGCCGTCCTGGTCCGTCCCCAGCTGCTCGTCGGTCTCGTGTTGTTCGGCTCGTCGTGTGACGGACGTCCTCGTGGCAAGACGCGCGCTGGAACGGAACCTGCACGGGCTGATCGGGAGGATCGAGCTCGACGGCACCTTTTCGTGGCACGGAAGAAGGACTTCGGTCACGCAGGAGAAGGGTCATGGGACCAGCGCTGCTGCTGCCGAGGCGGAGTTTGATCTTTCGGACACCGCTGCGCTCTCGAAGAGGATCACTTGGACTGCTTTCGTCATCGTTGTTGTTGTTGTTGTTGTTGTTGTTGTTGTTGTTGTTGTTGTTGTTGTTCTGCTGCTGCTGTCACTCGCACGGGCTCTTGTCTCGGGCCATAGCGAGTGGAGGCGGTCGAAAGGTCTGCTGAGCGCACGAAAGGACCTGTTCCTGCGACGGTTCTTCAGTTTGAGCGTCGGGGTCGACCCGCTCATGGACTCCACCTCTTCCACTTGAGCTCGATTCCTCGTGCCGTCCTCTGCGTGACTGGAACGAGTTTGACTGGTCGAAGGTGCCGTGTCTTCCATTGGGTTCATGGCACTCTCCATGTCGCGGATGAGCTCGTTGTAGGCGAACGCATCGCTAGCACACGTACTTGCTTTGCCGCTGTACATGGACGCCATACTCGCCGTGCGCGTCACCCGCTCCGAGTCCTGTGCCCTTGTCGCGGCCTTCGGAGGGTCCGATGCAATGCCAAAGTCGTACAGATCCTGCAGCTGCTTGTCCAGTGTGTGCTCGACTTTGCCGCACGACGAGGAGGCAAACGTCGACGTGGACGACTTTCCACTGCACGCCAAGCGGTCGATCGACTCGAGTGCGTGTGCCTTTGTCTCGTTGGACGTCGGGACGTACATTGTGACGCCACCGCTTCGTGAGACGACAACTTTACTCCTCGAGAGCTCAGCGTCGTCTCCATTCAGTGCCACACGATCGTGACGTCCGTCCGTCCGATCACGAGCCAAGTGGACGCTGCTACGTCCTACTCGATCCATCTCCACGTCTTCAGCCTCCACCAACGACTCCTTCGCATCGTCGCCGTTGTCACGAGCCGAGAAGCTCATGTTCGTCTCCGTACCGTCGATACTTCTCACAACATTCTGCTGCTGCTGCTGCTGCTGCGACGTCGGGACGAATTCCAATGCGACCTGAAGGAGCCCCGCACTGCTTCCTGCCAGTGGCAGCCAATGTGGACTCAGGTAAGTGGTCTCTGCACGGTCCACTGCGTCTCGTTCGAGTGCATCAGCACCATCGTTACTATCTTCGTTGTCCTCGTTACCGTCCGCCCTGGACGAGAGCAGTAAGTCTCCCAATGGCACACTCGTTGAACCCACGACACGCTCGCCACAGACCACGTCAATGTCGAGCTGACAGTCGCTGCCACTGACTGCTGCTCCGGTTGCGGTTGCTGCACTGAGTCGATCGTCTCGTGTCGTCGCTGTCAGCTCGTGGACGGCCCATGCAAAGTGTCCGCTCCTCCCGTCGCGAAGGCCGTGATCGGCGTGACGCCACACGGGATTCTGCATGTCGGAATGGTTCAAATGGCTCGGCGACATCTGAGCCGCTCCGAGGAAGTCGCACCGCACGCGGACCCCGTCGTACGTGTCGTCCACTGCCTCTGCTCCGACGGTCGACGACCGTGGAGGCAATAGGCGACAGGCTTCGTAGACCCAGACGTGCAGCTCACCTTTCATGAGGCAGCAGTCACTCAGTCGATCGAGTCGATCGATGCGGTCGCTTGGGGTCGACAGGGCCAACACAATGGGGTGCCCCGGCGTGCAACACGACGGGCGACTGCTTTCGAGGATCGGCAGGTCGTCGTACTCGTACGTTAACGTGCCGTCTCCGTTCGACGACACGTCCGACGGTGAGGGGCGGAGCATTGTCACGAGCTCGTACGCGAGCAACCGCTTGAGACCGCCTGCAGCTTCAGACGGCTCGACTCCTCCTCCTGCTCCTTTCGTTTCCTCGTCCTCCTTCTTCTCCTCCTCCTCTTCCTCCTCCTCCTTTATCTCTTCTTCGACGTGCTCCGTCGACGTCATCTGCAATCGATCACGTCGAGTTGGCACGTTGTCGTCAAGAAGACGAGTGGTCTCGACCTCTCCGGCCACACGCATGTGCGTGCCTGCAGCAAACTCAGTAGTGACTATTGATGGACCCCTGAAGTTTCACGGCCGTAGAAAAGCAGCGATCGACGCGAGCAAATTGCGCATGACAAGAAGAAGAAGAAGAAGAAGAAGAAGAAGAAGAAGAAGGAGGAGGAGGAGGAGGACAAGAAGAAGCAGAAGAAGAAGCAGAAGCAGAAGGAGAGCGGGCGGACTCGTTTGCAGGAAGGAGATCGGATCGTAGACGAGTGCGTGAAGGACCTCGTGTTCAGACAAAGAGACTTCTGTACCTCGAGGCCGTTTTTCACGTCGACCTCAGCCTTCCCGGGGCCATGCAATGGACTTCCCAACCCATGCCACTTAGTTGCTCGCGCGCAGTAACGAACGAGTCGATCGCTTGGCAAGTACAACACCAGTCGACCCTACAGACGACGGACGGCTCGAACGGACGTGACTGCACAGGACAGCTGCAAGTACGTGACGCATTCTACGGCTGTCCCTCTCTCGATAACGGCACGACTTTGTCGTCGTGCAATGAAACACGCGACTTCATGTCGCCTTTTCAATGCAGCTACGCTCTCGACTGGGCTGGTGGCTCAAGGCATTTATTGTCCGTCATTCGGCCGGTCGGGAGAACCGAAGGGCTGAGCGTGCGAGACGAGGGAATCGTCACGGCCGAGAGTGTAGGACACCATGTGGTCGGTCTACCTACTGTCTGCCTACAAGGAGAGTATTATCCTTCGTATAAGAACGCGTCGTAGCATTTTGCATCGGACAGAGTACTTGACACTTGACTTGATCTGGATGCGAGCGCCACGCACGCGCTATGTTCCTCGTCGTGGCTAAGCTTCGGACGGCCGAGCACGAGACGCAGGAGCCGCGACGAGATTCAAACCGATTTGCCGCCAAAGTTTGGCAAACTTCTAGAGCCCCACGTGCAGTTTCCCTCTGCATAAGCGTCGGAGGAGCTCTAATGTTTGCCACGACATGATCGTTGCGTGCGGCTGACCTCGACTTGCTACGCCCGTATCCCGAGCCTAGAGATCGAGACGCGGAGACGCCACTACAGTACCAGTTGTGCCACTCCATCGGTGTGTGCTGTAGCTCGTCGTCATGCACAAGGACGAGCTCAGTCTGTAGATAGCTTTTCGTTCCCTCCATCCAACCGATCAATCGATCGATCGATCGATGAAAGACCCGCAAATCTCGCAGAGCTGCGTCAGCTGACACGATGCGCTTTGCGTAGAAGAATAGAACGGTGGCCTCTCGTGAACAGATCCAGTCGTGCTGTAAACTGCGCAAGGAAATGACAGAGTCGTTCGATCTACCGCCCGCGTTGACTGAGCGCCTAAAGTATGTGCGCAAACCATCGGATGCAATCAGGACCGGCAGATCATTTTCCCACATACTTTGACCCACCAGTCCCGTCACCACACGACAAGTGACGACAGTGTCGTACACTCGCAGTGCTCACTCAGCTCTCGTCGAGCATTGCATTGTCCTTGTGGCTGCATCGGTATGGACATTGATGATGCGGACTTCCGGTGAAGGCGATGATGCGTCGTGTGGTTTGTTGCGTGCGTGCGTGCTCCGTGCGTGCCGTCGAGAACTTTACAGGTCGTGTGCAAGGGCAGGAGGTCGTCCGCGCCGAAACGTTCTTTCTGCCACTCGGTGACCTCGATCCAGCACGCAGGCAGGCGCAGGCATTCCATGTCGCGTGGAAACTGCCACTCGCCCTAAATGTGCGCACGATCAGGTGCGTGTACGCAACTGGAAGCATCTCGTCCCACGGGTCGGGTCTTGTCCGTGCCCGAAAACAAGCGCGTCGTGATGGGTGCAAAGGGCCACGACAGCCCCCGTACCCTGTCGTACGCCAAGTCTCCGTAACGAAAGATGGGCAGACACAAAAAGCTCTTTCGAGCAGACACAAGTCCTCTATGATCCGAGTAAATAATCGATAGCAGCATCAAACCAAATTCGACGGCGGGTTTGAACGTGGTGCTCCTATTGAGATCGTCGCCGTCGCCTGACTCTCGAACTCGCGAAAGTCTTCCAAAATATGCCGCAAATCTTCCTGTACCTGGGCACTGCTCGGTCGGTACTCGGGTTTGTAGCTCGTGCACGCATTCACGAGCTTTACAATGCTCTTCGGACACGACGGCGACAGCGTGGGCGAGAGCGCGCCCCTTGCAATCAGTTGCAAAATGTCCGTCTCGGGTACAGCCGACTTGTTCGCCTGCATCAAGTCGGAGAACGGAAGCGCGTGCGAGTCCATCTCGGCGATCAGGATCCCGAGCGAGTACACGTCGCTGGCGTCCGGATACGACGCGCTCGTTTCGCGCCCCAAAAGCGCTTCGGGCGAGATCCACCGGCCCGATCCGACCGCGCTGTACGACATGAGCTCTTGCTCCGTCAGGACCTCCGATCGGCCGTCCTGGCCAAAGTCGCTCAGCTTTGCACGCAGCGACTGGTCCAGCAACACGTTTCGCGAATTGCAGTTGCCGTGGACCAGACGCGGGTGCATCGCGTGCAGGTAAAGCAGCGCCTTGCTCACGTCCAGCAGCATGTTCACTTTCAGGTACGACCATTGACCTGACTGTTTGCTCGCAGTGCGATGCAGCCAGTGCCGGAGATCGCCTTGAGCCATGTACTCTGTTACAGCGCACAAGTGCGTCTCGAGCGACCAGGCGACACCGATAAAGGTCACGACTTGCGGGTGTGAGAACGTGGCTTGTCGCTTCAGCTCGCGCTGCAGCTTGTCCCGAGCGCTCCCGCCACCATCGCCATCGTCCTTCAGTGCGCGCACATCTTCGTCTCCACTGGGTGTCAGGAACTTCACCACTACCAAAGTTTCAGTCGTGCCTCCTCCAGGCGACACGGCGGCAGTCGACGCGTCTCGTGTCGCGAGCGAGGCCAACCAGATCTCGCGGGGGTTCATAGCGCTCGTGATGCTCTGTTTCCGCAGCGTGCAACGTCGCTCCGTCGGCAACAACGTCAAACTCTTGCGCATCTTCAGGCGCTGGAAGTCCAACCGCCACGGCTGGAGCTCCTCCGTGACCCAAAACTGAGAGCTGCTGGCGACGCTCGATCGCTGTTTCTTCCGTCGTCGGTGGCCGTGAGGAGACGGAGACGGCAGTGGCGTCGTGCTCGAGGCGTTCGACGTGTCGCAGCTGTCGCTGCTCTCGAGCGTCAAGTACCGCGCCCGCTTGTCCGGCGCGGCGGTCGCCCGCACGGCCCCGTTCTCTCGGCAATACCGCCCGTACGTCCGCAGGAAGAAGACAAAGAGCCCCGTCTTGTACAAGAAGAAGACGAACGGCAAACTCAAGCTGAGCACCACGAGCGTCGGCGTGTCGTGGTCGTCGCCGCCCGCGCCCCCCAGCGCCTTCTCGTCCGTCCCTAAGCTCTCAAAGAGCATCAGCCGTCGACGCCCACGCAGCGCCGCGGCCCGCGTGACGCACACGGGCCATCCACCGACGTGCTGCACTGTGCCGCTGTCCAATCCACGTGCACACGCCCTGTCCCCGAGCGCGTCGCGCACCTGTCTCGTCTCCTGCGCCCCGTCGCCCGTCCATTGACGGCGCAGTCGCACGTACTGCGCTTCGCTCACTGTCAGAAGCGTCGACGACTCGGCCGTCACGCGCGTGTCGAGCAGCTCGAGCGTCTCGACGTGCGGCAGCGTCAACAGCCACTGCAGCGGCGCTCGGTCCAAGACGCAGCGCCGGATCTGCACGTGTCGGACCGACGGCGCGGGTGTCGGCAGCGCTGCGACAGAGAGCGTCAGCCCCGAGAGCACGAGCGACGAGAGGCGCGCCGCGGTCCATCGACCGGCGGCGTCAAACGCCACGCGCGCGCCGTCGCCGTCGAGCCACAGCGTCTCGACGTCGGGCGCGTGGGCCAAGTCCAGGGCGCCGAACGTGTAGCCATGCGCCGCGTCCCCGAGCGCCACGCGCGACTCGTGAGGCCGCGTGCCATTGGTCGGCGCCAGCGCGAGGCACTGGCGACCGCGTGCAGACGAGACGAGACACGGCGGCGCGTCGAGCGGGCACGGGCTGCTGCAGTCGCGCGTGGCGGTCCAGTCGTCGGCCCGCACGGCCCACGACGCGCCGCGCAGGAGCAGTGGCCACACGAGCGGCCACGCGCGCGCTCTCGGGCGCCGGCGTGGGGGCATTTCGGCGAGTGCGGTCGCGTCTGGTGCCAGTTGGCCAGTTGGCCAGTTGGCCGGGGAGGGAGAAACCTGCGACACGAGACGTCTTGGTCTTTGTATGGGCCGGGCAGCGCGGGCCGCTCACTGGAGGATAACCAGTTGTGGGTGGGGTCGACACGCTCTCACCCACACTCGGCGCCTGTGGGGATGTGGCCCGCAGACGAGGCAGACAGCCCGGGGCAGCAGCTGCTGGGGGTGAGCGCTCGCCATGTCTGAAGTAGTCAGTGGCCGCACAAAGAAAGAACCGACTTGATCGATCGGCCTGTGAAACGTGACGTTGTACTGCGTGGTCCGCCGTTCGAAGCGACACTTAAGGGATGACGACTTTCGGGAGACTCGACGTGCTCGGGCGGGACCAGACCTCGTCGCGCTGAAGTAGCGCAAAGCGTCGGCCCATTTGCATGGCTCGGAACAAGCAGATAGTAGTGAGCCACCGATTCCTTTTGGTGGTCAGAGAAAGACCAAACCGGTACAAAAGACATGCGCCAGCACGCGTGTCGTGGCCGGCGTTCCTTTTTCTGCCTCGTGACTGCAGCATCAGATCCTGCAGTGTGCACGCCGTGGCAACGTCGCAATCAAAGTGGCCAGAAAGTAGCTGAGGCGCACGATAAGTTAACAACGATACGTATAGTTCACTGATCTGTCCTCGTGGACTCTTGACGAGCGATAGAGCGATGGAGCGAAACGTTACGTGGTCGGATCGAACAGCGAGACAATTTCGTTTCCACTTGTGTCAGTCTCTTCTCCGTCTTTGCTTCCGTCTGCCCGCGACTTGTTGTCCATTGATCCGCAAAGTATCGACACACGTGGCCGCTTCAATGCGACTGTTGTCTTCTTTGCGCTGTCGTTCAGAATAAAACAATTGTTGAAGAGGACAACGCAACAACCTTTTTGCAACGTCGTTTAGCCGACTCTCCGACATCGTGGCAACAAGCAGAGAAGTCGGTGCTGCAATGCAAACTTTCGCTGGCTGAGTCAAAGTAAACGTGCAGATAGCTGAGGAGAAGAGTTTGCGCCAAAAGGTCTGACACCTGCGGCAAAGAAAGCAGCGCCCTCGTTTACAACGACGTCGATGTTGATCATGCCAAGACGATGGAATACCGCCTGATCAAGTACATGCCGTAGCGAATCCAGCGGCGATGCAGGACGTCATTATAGTAAGGTAGAAGCAACACGCAGAAACAAGTGCGGTGTCGCGTACATTCACCAAGTGCTGGTAGCGACGGTCGAGTCAAATTCGAGAACAACTTGACAAGCACAGTGCACTTGAGTATGGAATCTGTGTTGTCGAAAGTGCTGTCCGTCGAAGTAGTGTTTACGCTAGAAATCCATCGCGTGTAGCGCTTATCTACTACGCAATCAGACACCCTCAGGAACTAATCCAACGATGCAAACAAATGGCGAGGTCGTCAGGCGAGGTCGCTATACGTCACACACCGACGACGTCAAGTCGTTAGAAAGCGGCGTCTGCGGACTGAGCTACTAAAGGTTATACCTGCGGACGAATGCACGGTATAGAGGGAGGCTGATGGGAATACAGCTGGAGGAGTGGAATGGAGCGATCGGTACGATAAATCCGCCGTGTCGTCGAGGGAGTGCGCAGTCGTCAGTCTGAAGACATGTGGTGCGGGACGCCGCAAGCCATGACGGGGTCCCTGTTCGTGGATCAAATGCGCAGTATATATAATGCCGTGTGCACGACCTGTTGCCGCGTACATGGCGTCACTAAAACAGATCTCCCTGTTCGACTTGCGCGAGGGGAGGGGGGGAGTCTCTCATCACAAGATGCTGCAGCTGTGCTAAGGTGAGGAGCGGAATCGTTTGAAATGATCGGTGGAAGTTATCGAGTCGTCTACGTGTTGGCGGTGCAAAACATGAGCTGTTTGCAGTGACACATGTGTAAGGGTCGCCACTGCAATACACCTATTGTCCACAACATTGTGCTATACTTTGCCGTCGAGCTTTGACTTGCGTTAGCTGCGTGGTATGTTGTCCTGACCGAATGTGCTGCTGCCAAACACGAGAACGTCACTGAGACAAAGATGCTTTGCATGACACGGCCCAGGCGGAGAAGTCGTGTCTAATGCAGTGAAGTGGGCTGAGCTCGAAATATAAGGTCCCGATTGAAGTGAATGTAAATGTGGATACTATATTGATATATTGTGGTGTTTGTGGATAATACTTTACAATATATTCATTGTCAATAATATGCAGCAATATTACATAAGAGGGGGGTGTCACAAAATGATCGCAGAGAGAAAATATTAGCGATTTAGATATGAGCCCATCTTTGTCTTCATCTAGCTAGATTAAACTACAATCTTCTCCGTGGGTTTCTTGCTCGCCACCCATTGCGCACATCCAGCAGCGATTGGTGGGCAATCTGGTTGACGAAGCGTCAACATCAACCAATAAGTGGAGCACCCAAGAAGATTACCCTCGAAGATAATATCCCGCCAACATCACCTCTTCTCGAGTAATGCTGATTGAATATTATCTAAACGAAGACTATTCAAAAAGGGATACATTCGTATCGAGTTTTACGTAACGGGCGGCTCACCCCGTTACAATCATTGTCCAATCTGCTCAGCTGCTCAAGCTCAAGACTCCCGCCACTCCTTCGCCGAACGTGGGATTCTTTGCAGGGTACTTACTCGTGAGCACCAAAATACGTTGTATTCCCATGGCAAGTGGCCAGGGCCTCTAGGGCGCGGCCAATATGTTATGTTGTTAGTATGTTAGAATGATGCGTCGTAATGCCCTTGACGCGAGAAAAGCGGGGGTAGACATCAAACCAGCTCATCTCATCTCGTAGACGTACATCACGCTTCAATTAGGGGCTAGTGCACTTAGCCGGAGAATGTAGCTGAGAACAACCGCACATCCAATGATGACTGTCGAAGGGAAAGTTCCCTTGTTTTCCATCCTGCCGTCTGTTTCCAGCCCGAATTCATGTGCGCGTAAGGATACTTTCGTGCATCCATTAGGCCTACGTCGACTGCGTTTTTGTGGTCGTCTATAAAACCGATCAGTGCTATGGCGCGTATCATCCTGGCATTCACACTGCATATCGAGACTGTGTAGATGGGAACTCGGCCTGTTGCCGAAAGAGCCACCACAGGACAGCGTATCGAGCGATAGTATGACTTGCATCAACCCAACTCGACGCTCAAAATGACCAAAACGGGCCCAACCAATTTCGTTGGAGGACACGAAGTCGTAGCCGACCCCTTGGACGTCGCCGAAACGGGCGCGCGTTATCATGTCGATCGCAAGCGTTTCAGATGAGTGGGTCGGTTTGTCTGGAAGAGACGACCCCTGTGCCATTGCCGCTTGGCCTCGACAAACGTGGAAAGACCTGAGTATCGAAGGAACAGGCGCTTCGCAATCGCTTCGTAAGTCATTCCTCTGTCGTCATCGCGTCGTTGGTTGGCTCAAGTAGGGGATGAGCGCAGCAGCATCGTCTACGACACCGGCCGCCCATGACCGATGCGTCAAGCACGAGTTGCAATTGATGGCCGGTGGGAAGAAGATCCACGTGCCGTGAACTGCTGCCATGGCAGTGGAGCAAGAGCCAGTTGAAGCGCGTGGTGACGAAACGCGTCAGAGGGCATTCAACACAACGAGCGGAAGCTGACTTGCCCAAACCTCAAGCCATGAGGCACCAAACAAGTCGCGCGGATGTCTAAGGGGTCACGAGGTCAATTGATCGCAACAGTCCGCTGCCTTTCTACCTCTGAAGAACGTTCTTTCGGTCTCTTTGAAAGCGGCACAGGACCATATTCAGTATGAGACGACGCGAGGGCTCGTGAGGCCATGAGCTCCGGTAGAATGTGGCAAATGGCCGTCAAGTGCTCGAGCTGGCGGACGCCCACAAAGAAGATTGAGGTCATCATTTACATAGCTCGGAGCGAGACAACCGGTTGGTAAAGCAAATGAACTTTTGTAAGAGACGGGCGGACAGCGATGAAATGGGACAGGAGGCTGGGCACGAAGTGGACGTCTTGCCTAGTTCACATGTGCACGAGAAGATGGGGTTGGAAGCTGACCTTAGCGATGGAGCTGGACACACGTCTTCCACTGATAGTACCTTTTGTCGTCAACGTTCCTTCCCTTTGTATCGCATATCCATCGAGTTTACAAGTGTAACAGCACTCGAATGCACGAAAAACTGTCTGCCACAACACACTCCAAGTAGTACATGTTAGCGGTCTCCGAACGCAGTACTTTGTTGTAGTTGTGGATAAGGCGTACACAAATGCGCTTCATCGGTACCGTTCTTCGTATTGTGTCCACGCATTGCACGGAAGTACATCCACACAGATACCCCAAAGTGTCAGAGGTGTGCGCGGTCCAATGCTTGCACGGCTTCAGCATTCACGAATCAAACATGACTCCCATTGTGTCCACATTATCCGCAGTGTATACGAGTATTACATGCACTTGACACGTGTGCGCTCAAAGGCTCAGCAGCTCAATTGCAGCATCGCCTTCGCGCTCAGCGTCGCTGCTTCGGTGCAAGTTGCAACGGTTCATGGTCGTTGCACTGGACCTTCCACTTGCTCTTCACCGTCATTACGTGGCAGCTACTGCGCGAGCTGCCCTTCAGGCCTTTCGTGACCTCAAAGTCCACCTGCGTCCAGTTGTTGCGCTGGTCGGGCATTGTGCAGACATGACCCACTTTGGGCTGCCCACAGCGACCGCACTTGTACATCTTCCGGTTCGCGTCGTCAGCGAGTATCTTCTTGCTGTCAAATGAAGAGACAGAGGTACTCGTCCTGCTTTGCGCCGGTAGCTCCTGCGGGTTGAGGCCACTGATGATGCTTGGTTCCTCTGGCACGGAGAGGAATTCCAGATTCATTTGCGACATGTCCATCGACAGTCCGGACGAGCGGTTTGGACCACCACGTCGACGCGCGGCGGCACGCGGAGGCAACGTGCTGCCTAGCGACGACCGACGGCCATGCAGTGAGTGCACAGCACCGCTGGCAATCGGAGAGGGCACTTGGAACTGAAACTGCTGCAGGTTCTGCTGCAACGGCTCGAGAAACATCGACGCGTCTTGCAAGGCAGCAGTCGCATCGAGGTACGCCTGATCCGACTGCCGTTGCTGCTGCACCTGGTGCTGATGCTGCTGCTGGTGCTGATGCTGCTGCTGCACGTGCTGCTGCTGCTGCATGTGATGCTGTTGTGGGGACTGCATCACTTGCTGCTGCTGCTCTTGTTTCTGCTTTGTTTGGTCCGCCAGCATGCGAAACTGGTCCAAATTGTGCAGCAAGTCGATCGGGTTCGAGTGGTGTCGCAAGTGGTAACTCGCGGGCCGCTTGCGCTTCATCTTGAGCTCCTTCACGCCTTCTTGTATACGCTGCGAGCGGTACGCCACGGGCGACGCCTCGCACGGCCAGCCATTAAACCCGTCCGCCACTGCAGCGCTCTCACTGAGCATGTGGGGCTGCAGCTGCTGCTGCTGCTGGTGACTCGCGTAGAGCTCCGTCCACGCCATCTCCTGCAGGAACGCGTCCATTTCTTCAAACGCCTCTCCTGGCGCTGCGGCTGCTGCCGGTGCAGTCGCTGTCGGGCGTCGCGCGAACGGCACTGGCGCCGGTCCCAGTGGCAGCTCCGGCAGCAGCTGCGGCCCCAACTCGAGCCGCCCGTCGGGTGGCGACGTGCGCGCCACCGTAACCCCCCGCAGCACGTCGGGATTCGAGCGCACGCGCTTGTGGCGGTGCTGCGGCGCCACGCGGTAACTGGGGCCGCCGCCGCCGTCGGCCGCAGGGCGTCCGCTCGGGACGAACGAGAACGAGAGCGGCGTCAGGAGGTCGTCGCTCTCGGTCTTTGGCGTCAGCGCGGGCGACGACGGGCCCGGCACGTCGCTGTCGAGCAGCGTCTGGTCCGAGAGCGACGCAGCGGCGGCGGGCGGCGGCCCACTGCCCTCGAGGAAGATGCAGTCGAGCGGCAGTCCGTCAAAGAGGTCGGCGTCGGCCATGACAGACTGACAGATAGACAGATAGACTGACAGACTGACTGACGTACGTACGTCGGTACGTGGCCTGTTGTTCTTCGTCTGGTTCGAGAAAGAAGGCGGCAGGGCGGGGCGCGTGAGTGCGGGGAGAACGCATACCCTGTGATACTCGACGAGCGCGGGCTGTATCGGGTTGGACGGGATAGTGTCGAGGGGGACGAGCGATTGCCTGCGTCGCGGGCGCATTGAGGCTCTCTGATAGTTGATACCCTTCGGGAGGACACTCTCGGAGGGGATGATACCCTGGCGGACGCTTAGGTGACGATACCCTGTGGAGGACACATGCAACGCTGGTCAGCTATAACGCTGCGAGAGGATACACACACACACACACACACAGTTGCACACGTAATGACACGACTCGATTCTTGACACGTGCGACCTACGGACCTCCTACTGCCAACGACCGGCGGCGAGACACACACACGCACACACTCGTTCTGCCGTCGCTCGGGACGCTACAGCGCCTGTGTGTGCGAAAACGCCATCGCGGACGAGCTGTCGAAACTGGACAGCCCACTTTCAAAGGGGAACGCAGACGACTGCTGCTGCTGCTGCTGCTGCTCGTGCTCGTGCTGCCCCATCGTCTGGTAGAAGTTCGCGTCCAGTGCGCCGCCACGTGCGGGGTCTTGCAACAGGGTCTGTACAGCACAGCACAGCACAGCACGCGAGAGGTCCAACGATTCAGTCAGCATTCAACGCAAGCTCAACTCGGCCGCTCTCACGACGCAACAGGTCGGCATCCAGCACCACAGTCCTCCGTGCTCGCTCGCTCGCTCGCTTGCGGCTGTCAGAAAACAAAGTCACTCACCTGCAGACTCAGCGGACTCAGCTGGGACGTCGTGTCTTGTGGACGCGGGTACGAATCCCACATGCTCGTGACGCCGTGCTGCTGGGACTGCTGGGGTTGTTGCTGGTTGTCACCCATTCGGGGCAGCCCGTCTTGAATGATGTCTCCGGTGGTGCCGGCAACGCCGGGCACGAGCCACGACTCGCCGACATTCTGCTGCTGGTGGTGGTGGTGGTGGTCCAGCTGATGCGCTGGAGACGTCCCTTGACTAACTGCTCCAGTCGATGGCTGACGTTCGTAGTACCGCGGGTCATAGCTACTGTCGGTGACATACTCCTGACTCTCGTACTGCTGCTGAGGGGCATAAGGCTGCGGAGCGTACGCACTGGCAGCGTATAAACTCGGATCGCCCCCAGGCGAGTGACTCATGAGCATTGCGCGGTTTTGCTGGTACGGCTCTGCCTTCAGATCCTCCGTCAGCATGGCAACGTGGCTGACGTGCTGACCCTGCTGTATCTGTTGCTGCATGAGCTTCTCGTGAAGACGCATTTGCTGCATCTGCTGCTGTTGATCGAGCTGCTGCACAGCTTCCGCATTGTGCGCCTGCATATGCTGCTGCTGTTGCAATAATTGCAGCTGTCGCTGACGCATCAATGTCGGATTATTGTAGCCCATTGCCGCTTGCTGTGCCGCGGCAGCTTGTGCCTGCTGCTGGTTCTTCTTGTGCTGTGCGTGCGAAGCGGCGGCCTTGCTAGGGTTTTGCTTGAGCGACTTCCAGCGGATTTTCACCGAGTCCTCTGTGCGACCCTTCAAGAGCTGAGCAATTTGCGACCATTTGTTCCCGAGCCTTGCCTGCGCGGTAAGAATCACCGAGTCTTCTTCTTCAGTGTAAGGTCCCTTGTTGATGGCCGGGTCCAAGTGATTTTTCCATCGCTCACGGCACTGCTTTGGTGTACGTCCTGGAATACGCTCTGCTATCTGGCCCCAATTGTTGCAACCCTGTGTCACTAAATACTCCAGCACCTGGTCCTCTTCGAATGACCAATGACCCTTTACGAGGCCTGGCTTCAGAACCTTCCGCCAACGCTGCAAGCATTGGGCATGATTCCGACCTGGTACTAGCTCAGCAATAGCTTTCCAGTTCTTTTCGCCGTGGATGCGGACACTCTCCCGAAGGGCAGTGTCCTGGCCTTTCGTCCAGCGCTTGGTTGTTGGAGCATCCAGATCGTCCACTGCTTCCGCGTTGCTCTTGCAACTCTCGCCGTCCTCGTTGTTTCCAGCTGCTACCGATGAACCAGTGTCAGGGCGCGTGCGTTGTGTAGGCTTCTGCTCTCCTTCGACGAGCACTCGACTGCTCTGTGGACGGTCGCGCTTCACTGTTGACTGGTCGTCACTATCGTCGTGTGTGGAACTCGATGCGGTGTTGCCGCTCGGAATAAAGCCCTTCTTGTTGATTTCGAGCTCGCGTAGATTCATCTCCGACTCGTTGATGTGCGAGTTGCTCAGCAATCGCCCCATGTGCGAGATGTCTTCTTTCGAGATCACTACGGACGACGACGACAGCGATCGGCCTACGACAACACCGTCGGCATTCGGCATACCAGCCAAATTCTGAGCGGTCAGTTTGCTCGTCTGGACTTCCTTGCTGGACGTGACGCATTGCATGATCAGAAAACAGACACAGCAGAGAGAGCGATACACAAGAGCTCTGTCAATCATCGGCTTGCACACCCGTATGGCTACACAAGAGGCGACCGCTACGATAAAGCCAATCGCACAATCGATCAGGTAAACTCAACCACTGGTCGACCAAACGTACCCATCAGGACCCACAACCGCGTTAAACGAGTGGAATTTATTCGCGCCACCATTCAGCATCTTGACGCGGTCGGCAGCTGCAGCAATCAAAACAAAGAGCCATACGAACCGTCACATATTGTACTTCCACCCCCAGCTAATAGCGACACAAAAAAGCAGCGAACCACACTAAACAAAGTGCTTTTTCCCCCGCCATCCACGGCCCGTCAGACCACCACACCAACAGCCGCACAGAAGGCGCGCAGAAGGCGCACAGAAGAAGCCGCAAAGAAGAAAAAGCAGACGAGCCATTGCCGTACCATTCATCGCCTGTTTGCGCATCGCGTGCGACGCCATCGCCCGCTCCTCCTGCGCCTGCGCCTGCGCGAGTTTCGCCTGTTGGACCTGAAACTTCTGGCGCAAGTTGACGATAAACTTCTTCTTCCCGTCGAACGTCGACTCGGCCATTGCTTTGACCACGCGGAACTGCTTCTCGTCGCGCAGACGGTCCACGTAGCGGCAGAGCTCAGCGCTCTCACTGGGCGAGAGGCCGCTGAGCGCCAAGAGGAACAGCCGCGACGACTCGGCCGGCAGCGACTGCAGCAGCTGCGCGAGGAGGTCGCCAAAGTTGTCGACGGCCGACGACGTCGATGGCGGGAGGCCGTCGTCCGTGGGCGGCGCGGGCTCTGGTTGCGTGTCTGCGCCCATTGCGTCGTGGGTCATGGCCGTCCTGCCGTGGGTGAATGGTGAATGGTGAGTGGGTGAGTGGGTGAATGGGTTTTATGCTTATCGAGGGGGGCGACCCGCGTGCTGCTTTTCGGTCGAGTGCCCTGCGAGTTGTGGCTCGACGTCGTGGACGAGCGCTGGAGCGAGAGCGACGACGTGGACAACGGACGGACGGACGGACGGCCTGTGGACGGGCGTGCAAATTGCCTTATGCGCGGACGTGCGGGTCGGGGGGGGCGCTCGTTTTTTGTCGCGGCCAGCGACGCGCCGTGCGTCGTTTTGGGTCCCTCCTCTCTAATTTAATTTGTACCGCGGGCGATAAAAGGTCTGTCGTGGGTGGGTGGGGTTTAACTCGCTCGGTGGTCGAGTGCGCCTCTGACGTCGGATGGGCTTTGCTGAAGTGGTCCACGCGGGTGTTCGTTTTATAACCGATCACGCTCTGCGACACGACTGCGAAACCGAATGAACTGTCATTTGTGGTGACGGGTCGATCGTTTGATTCGGGTGCGGTGGGGACTTGTGCGTACTTAACTGACTCGGACGCGGTACATGACGCACGACGGACGCCCTCGTCGTGCACTGCTCGTTGCGGATGAGACACGAGCGCCCGTTCTCTGCGAAGTTGACACCGGCAGACTAAGACGGCAACAGAAGTGGTCAGCGGCGCCGTGGCGGGCGCGACGACTAGCCAATGACCGGTCGCCATCGGCTGCTGCCCGCGTCCGTGCCCATCCCCCGCCGTTTGGGCTCTGCGCCCCAATGGGTGGAGAATATTGCAATACCTCGACTAGAACGTATGGATGTTTGGATGCATGTTGGATGGACGGATAGATAGATAGATAGATAGATATGTGTGTGTGGTCGTCTGTATTACTGGCGCACGTACCGATCTGAGGCATCATCCGACGTGGGATGATGATGATGATGATGATGATGATCTTATACGATTGGAACGCGTGAGTGAGCCCACCGAGAACAACGAGCACTCGGTCGACACGGACATTAGCTGTGCTGCAATCGAGCGAAAGCATTCGTCTCGTCGTTGAATCAACAGCAACTACTACATGCCGATGTTGTGGACGTCGATCGGCTACTCCTGTAGCGTGTAGAGCTGTCGAGAATCGAAAAGTGGCAGCGGCTTGTTGAAGTTGCAGTGTTTTGGCACTGACTACAGATCCGACTCCTCGTCGTAGTCGAGACGCGAAAGCTGATGCGAAAGCTGACGAAAAAGCTGACGAAAAAGCTGACGAAAAAGCTGCTGATTCACGCTGTCAGGCGCGGCTTCAGTTCCGTTCGTGGGATGTACATTCTCTGATTGATCACGCCGCATGTCAGGGCGTCAATTCGCGAAAGCCCGACGTACATACTCGTACATGCAGCGTATATGCCGTTACGGCTTCCGTCAGGAATGTCAGCGTTTGCTGCATGTGTAACATCGACGCAAAAGTCGCAGCACGCTATGGCCACCTCTTACTGTCGTGATTGTCGAGGCAGAGCCACATCTATCCGTTCCTTCGTCTACTTTGCGATATCATACGTCCAGTTGCGACAATGTGAGGATCATTCACTTCCTTGTCGAATGAAGCACAAGTGTCGCATCAGTTCGTTGAGCTCGAGCTCGTGCAATACTAAAGCGACGTCTTGATGAGTCGCAGTGCGCCATCCCCGTCCCACATGTGACTGCGCAGGTAACCAACTTGACCAGACTTGCGCTACGGCCACGTGTGTCAAAAAAGAGATTTTCGGCTCACGACTCATTCGTTCGCGTGACGTGGGTCAGCTTCCATCTGCATCCTGTATACGCGAAAAGCGTGACCTTCCCAGTCTCATCGTTCGACATCGATACTGTATATAAAAAGAAACGACCTCGCGACGGGTATCGTTACTTCTGACGAGGGCCGCGCGTTCGTGACATTGTCCGACAAATATCACAGTACCAGCAAATGAGCAAATATTCCCAACGCGCTGGACGTCGGTCACCTGACGTTCACCCGCACACTCGTTTGCAGCTGCAGACGTTCCTCCTGTGCGTTCCGGCGCTCGCAGGACTGTCTGCTACGGCCGTGAGCAGACTCGGCGGACCGACACCAGGCGCAGCCCTTGCAAAAAAGGGGTTGCACCTGATTCTCAGCTGACCTGGCCACGCGGCCGCTCTGTTTCCTGCACTACTGAATAGCATATTGGCCGGACCACGGGCAGGCAGTCGTCGCTCGCATCCATTGGGCGCCGCGTGCTGGATTTCAATACGATCTTCCGTCCCGTCCAGCGCGTATTATCTTTCGCAGGTCAAAGCGAACTTCCGCTCCTTCCGCCTATCGCACGTCGCCCTTCACGTAGGACTTGGGCCAACACCTCAGGAACCTCTGGAGCTCCTCACTTTGGAGTTTGCCACGACGCGAGAAAAGCGCTGCCGACCGAATCTTTCCGTCTGTCTGTCTCTCTCTCTCGTTCTCTTTTTGTCGCATGCACTTCCCGGCGGCTTTCGTTGCTGCGGTCGCATTGGCTCTCGGCCCTGCGACCGCGTGGACGTTCAACGCGTCGAACGGGACCTCAGCGGGCGAGAAGGGGGACGTCCACGTGCCGCTGTACCGCTCGTGGACCATCTCGAGCTTTGCCCAGCTAGAGCAGCTGTACCTGGCACTCCCCGGCCGTGTGTTTGTCCAGCTCGACCCATCGCTGTTGCCAGAGACCGACGCGCCTGCCGATCGAGCTCCTTCTGTGCCGGGTGTGGTGGATGGATTCACGCCGGGTGTCAAGCCTGGATTCGTGCCGGGCGTCGAGCCTGGATTCATCCCTGGATCATCGCCATCTGGTGACTCGAAGTCGTCTGCCGATGCCCCCGCGGCTAAGGCTGCTGCTGCTGCTATTCCAGGCGTTGTATCTGGAGTCACGCCGGGCGTCGAGCCTGGATTCGTGCCGGGCGTCGAGCCTGGATTCATCCCTGGATCATCGCCATCTGGTGACTCGAAGTCGTCTGCCGATGCCCCCGCGGCCAAGGCTGCTGCTGCTATTCCAGGCGTTGTATCTGGAGTCACGCCGGGTGTCAAGCCTGGATTCGTGCCGGGCGTCGAGCCTGGATTCATCCCTGGATCATCGCCATCTGGTGACTCGAAGTCGTCTGCCGATGCCCCCGCGGCCAAGGCTGCTGCTGCTATTCCAGGCGTTGTGTCTGGAGTCACGCCGGGCGTCAAGCCTGGATTCGTGCCGGGCGTCGAGCCTGGATTCATCCCTGGATCATCGCCATCTGGTGACTCGAAGTCGTCTGCCGATGCCCCCGCGGCCAAGGCTGCTGCTGCTATTCCAGGCGTTGTGTCTGGAGTCACGCCGGGTGTCGAGCCTGGATTCGTGCCGGGCGTCGAGCCTGGATTCATCCCTGGATCATCGCCATCTGGTGACTCGAAGTCGTCTGCCGATGCCCCCGCGGCCAAGGCTGCTGCTGCTATTCCAGGCGTTGTGTCTGGAGTCACGCCGGGTGTCGAGCCTGGATTCGTGCCGGGCGTCGAGCCTGGATTCATCCCTGGATCATCGACATCTGGTGACTCGAAGTCGTCTGCCGATGCCCCCGCGGCCAAGGCTGCTGCTGCTATTCCAGGCGTTGTGTCTGGAGTCACGCCGGGCGTCAAGCCTGGATTCGTGCCGGGCGTCGAGCCTGGATTCATCCCTGGATCATCGCCATCTGGTGACTCGAAGTCTTCTGCCGATGCCCCCGCGGCTAAGGCTGCTGCTGCTGCTATTCCAGGCGTTGTATCTGGAGTCACGCCGGGCGTCGAGCCTGGATTCGTGCCGGGCGTCGAGCCTGGATTCATCCCTGGATCATCGCCATCTGGTGACTCGAAGTCGTCTGCCGATGCCCCCGCAGCCAAGGCTGCTGCTGCTATTCCAGGCGTTGTATCTGGAGTCACGCCGGGTGTCAAGCCTGGATTCGTGCCGGGCGTCGAGCCTGGATTCATCCCTGGATCATCGCCATCATCGAGCCCGGGCCTGGTCGAATCCGGGCCTGACGCGAATGACACGAAGTTGGTAGGCAAAGCCATCGATGTTCCGGCCATGATATTGCGCCACCATCGCCACCGCCACCATCGCTGCGAGCACGATTGCGACGACCGCTCGCATGATGAAGAGGAATTGGTGGCCAGGATTGTAGTCTCGAGCAATTCGAGCGACTTGTTGAACAGCATTGAAATCGTCCCGCTGCACCCTGGCCGCAACGACGGGATCAAACTTCAGCTGAAGAACGAAGACGCGTTGGTCGAAGGACTCGTGCTGACGCAGATTTACCTGTATGAGAAGAACATGTTGCACCAAGTGACGACAGCTTTTTCGGGTGACGTGGTACTGGACGAGAATGTAGTGATGCTCGATGACGCTGAAGCGGACGTGAAACTCGCGTGTGTGGGCGACGGCAAGCTGTTCTTGAAGTCCCAATCGAACGCGACGCTTGGTTCATTGGACGTGGAAGTTATGGGCGCCGGCCTGGTGCAACTCGAGATTCCTTCGGTGAGTCTTGAGATGAAACTGGACGTGGAAGTCGCAGGTACCGGTGTCGTCGCGTTGATAACGGACGACTTAACGGCGGACGATGTCAAGTGCACGCTTTCCGGCTCGGGCGACATTGTGGTAGACACGAGCAATTTGGATGCCCGGAAGCTTCAGGCTTCAGTGTATGGCTCCGGTGTTGCCAGCTTTGCTACGGCGGGCTCTGTCGAGAAGGAGTCGTTGACTCTGTCTGGATCCGGACAGCTGCTTGTTGGGTCGATTGTGGCGGAAAAGGCGAATGTGGACGTGTGGGGTAATGGCGAGATGCTCGTGCAGGTCACTGACAAGCTCACGGTTCTGACGTCGGTGTGGGGCAAGGTGGGCTACGTGAACGCGCCACCGACGGAGGTCAAGGTCAAGGGCTGGTGGTTTTGGCGTGAGACGAGCTCGATTGTGCATCCAGCGGCCGTGAACAAGGTTGCGGTGTATGAGCCTGTGGCTGTACCAGCGAAGGTCCCGGTGCACTACACCATCAAGACGGTGAAGTCGTTGCTATCGGACGAGCCCAACTGCACATTCACGGCGAGTGTGACGTCCGACGTGGCCGATCTGATGACGATGTCGTTGTCAAAAGTGCAGCAGACTGACGCCACTTTGGCGGCTGCCAGTTCGGCTGAGACGCACAGCGTCTTTTACGCGTTCGTCGGTGTGGGTCTCATTGTTGCGAATGTGGCGGCTGCTCGATCGTGGTCCGAGCGCCGAGCTCGTCGCCACTACACGCCTCTGCTGTAAGTGGCAAGTGGTGCTGCAGCGTTGGCGCAGTCTGATGGAAGGATTGTCGCGAGGGCTACGAGTTGTTCGAGGTTGATTTTGAGCGAGGGTGGAGCTGCTCGGGTAATTGGAATGTAGCTTGAGGTCCTTTTTGGTGGTTTGTACACTCCTTTCGCGAGCACAGGGTCTGGTCGGTATGATGGGGTGTCGTCGTCCACGACCTTTGCGCGGTCTATCGATAGGGCTTAGTCTTCACACCGTTCCACTGCACCGTTGCCGTATTCATCCTAGAGTGGGTGTGTGACAAGTATCATGAGCACTGCAATCGACAGTCGATGGCGATACTCTTATACTTTCAGCAGTCCATGCAAGCAATCAGAAGCTTCTTCGGGATGTGTAGGGGTCAGACGCAAGCAGCGATGACACGACTACCCATTTGACGATGTGAGATCGATCATCTCTACCGCTTTTGCAACAATATATCAACGGTCTAGTGCTTGTGGTCGGATACAAGACTGGTATGCTGTGAGCCATCTCGCGCTGCACTGTACACGACGATGAGCAGTCAGCGAGCCAACTAAAGACCCGGTCAGGCACTTGATGTCTAGAGAGAGAGAGAGAGAACTCGTCTCGTGCTATCGCTACTGCCGGCTTTGCATCGGCAAACAGCACACTAACGCTATTCGCTTACCATAGCATTATTACGATAAACTTGTGCCGCTAATGTGTCGCTCATTGAGCAACTGCTTAATTATGAGAGAAACTTCGTACGACAGCTAAGCATAACAACAGCGTCTTCTTCAAGAATTTGAATCTGTCATCTTACGCGACATAGAGAGTCAGACCGTTTTACTTCGGAGGTGGGACCTATGCGTGTGAAGGGCAAAAGTGGGCTCTTCAACTCATAGACGAAGGTCAGAAAGCGGGCGACCAGCGTTTGTCGAGGTTTGGTCGACGACGATCGTCTGCACGACGTGATGTCCCGGCCGCAAATGGACGTGACAACACTAAATACCCGAGAAGTGTGCGTTCAAATGCACCAAATCAATAGCCGTACGACTCGCTTGTCCTTCTTCCTGTGATCGAAAATGCTCTCGGCTGAATGCACGATGCGCCTCGCGTGAGAGCAATATGGCTGTGGGCTTTCCCAGCTTTTCTGCGAGTTTAATAGACCCGCCTATCGCCACGATGTGCTTGACCTTGTGTCCGAGTTTGCCAAATATTGGGAAAGTGACCGCCAATCGTAAACTTCCGAGTGCAACGGGAAGGATTGCGAAACCGAATAGAGGGCCCACGTTACGTTAATTATACACATACGACACACAACTCTATTTATAAAGCAAGTGCGTAACCCAGTTACAGCCCGACATTCGATGATACTCATGTGCGTTGCTTGACAACGACAACAACAACAACAAAGTGTCCTGTAGACAGCTTTCGAACACGTTCTACTCGGCAAAACATATCGGGGCATGGATGTGGTTCGCATGTGTCTTTGTTTGTGCCCGAAAAAGCCGCCGAGTCGTTCGATGGCTGCTCGATATGAGCTCAGTCCATCGCTCTCATTCATTCAAACACCGTTGGGTACGAATGCAATCGAAAGGGCATTTGCATACCCGCGAGTTCGGATCGCTGCAGCCTGTGAGCCCAGACCCAAAACTGCGTCTATCAAGCCAGAAGTGGGTTTCTCGGATCAATCGGCCAGTTCCACGTGTTGCATAGCAAAGAGTAAGACACGTGTGGCCATGTGTGCCCCTTTCGGATATCCCTAACGCGTGCGAGTCGATGATGCATGTAGGCTCTGTCATTGCACAATCGAGATCCGCACCTGTGCGAACGCATCTGCCACAACTCGTGCCCGGTCCCTTTTCTTTGCTTTCGATACAACGTCAAGCACGACATGCTTCGTGTTGGGAATATGCATCCGGTACACGTTTACGGCTGCCGAGAAGCAGGTTTGAAGCACCAGTAGCCGTACTTGCACAGCCATTCCACCAACTCTCACGCGTTGTGCAGAGTACCGACGTGCGCTATCGATGGTCGGTAGCCAGCGCTCCTTCCTGACTCTCAACCGCGATATACCTGTCGCTTCTCGGCGTTTTACTGGTGCATTGCGTCCTCGCGAGACAGTCAGACACGAAAGGACTTCGCGCGCACGTCCGGTAGCTTCGTGTTCGCTCATTTGAGTTGCTGCTCAGCGTTTGCTACCAACTACACAGCCGTTCATGACGACTGCTGCTCTTGCCAAGGCTCGGGCTTTTAGTGAAGCATTCGATTGCAACATCTACGCATTGTGTACGCGTACAACTGCAGCAGGTTCTCTCTCCGTCTCTTGCGTGCGTTTCATCACCTGCGCTGCTGTACTTCGTGCTAGTGGGTGTGGAATTGAACAACCCACTGCGACGGTGCGACTTTGGCCTTCGAGTCCACTCCTCCTGTCAGGCGAGACGCACGGTGGCACTGTCTCAGCCAACAGCTGTAGCATCGCCGCGTGCCTCAGCAGCACATGTGGAGATCGTCGTTCGTCGTTGCGCATGCCCTGTGGCCCATACGGCCACGCAGCTAAGTTTCCACGGTAGAAATGTGTCTGCCGGCATTGCGGGCTGGAGCAGAAACTTGTAGCGTCTCGATCGTACTACAGTGTTAGCGTCAAGGATCACAGTCTGATGACCACTTCTTCATGGACTCTCTGTCCTCGATGTGAGTTAGTTGTAGCGCCTCGATGGACGTGCGATCCCTCAACCCGACGACATTTGAGACTGTTCAGATTTATACATGAACGAACCCGCTCGAAATGGGAGACAAGCCCTTCCCTACCGCCTTGACGATCCCCTACCTGCTCTCTCAGTCTATCTCGCAGGAAACAGAAGGAGATAGAGAGCAAATACGTACAGGATTGTCGTCCTGTTCCCTACTCTCTCAATCTCTCGGGAGCCTGACTTCCTGTTGACGTGATGGCTGCGCTATCCATCCGCTATCCTACACGCAGTCCATCTGGTCCAAGGCGAGAGCAAGTACCAGCGACAGCCACTACATTCGATATAAAGTCCATGTCGAAAGGCTCGTGATATCGTGAGCCTCCATCACGTTCGTCAACGCCGCCTTCCGCTGCTTTGGCGTGCGCTCGATCAGTGGGTAGTTCAGTCGCTTCAAAGCCGACTTTGCTCTTCTTCTCGCAGCCATAAAAAGTCTTCAAACGACTGACGGACGATTTGCTCGACGGAGAACGCTTTGGATATGCGAAAACTGTGTGTCTTTCTTTAGCTACAAAAGGCTGTCCCGAACCCAACTTCCTCGAAAACGATTCCCAGACACTGCTGCTCAATGACTATACGGCACAGCAAGTGACGGTTCCCATCTTCTCCTCGTCACACTGCCGTCGTACTTCGTTACTTGTTGGGTTGTCCAGCACTCGTGTCGATCGTTCATTGTCCAATTTGCCTCAACCCCCACCTGAACAGCTCTCGTCCCATCCCGTCATCATGCGACTCGTTTCCATTGCAACACTCGGCATCTCTTCGTTGCTACACAGCGGCACAAGTGCAACGACTTACCCTCGGCCTGGTGCCTGTGCCGGCGTCTGCGTCAATACGCACGACCCGAGCGTTATCCGTGCGAAGGACGGCACGTACTTTCGCTTTTCAACGGGCGGCGGCATTGCGGTCCACACGGCTCCCGACCTCGTTGGGCCATGGGAGTACAGAGGGCCCGTGCTCCCGAAAGGCTCGAAGATCAAACTCTGGGAGCACGCGATGGACGTGTGGGCGCCCGACGTGCACCTCGTGGGCGACACGTACTACTTGTACTACTCGGCCGTGCGAAATGCGTCTTTTGACGGCCACAACCTCGCAGAAATCGGGGTCGCCACGTCCCGTACCATGGCCATGGACTCGTGGAAGGACTTGGGCGGAACGGGCATCAAGAGCAACGACGCCAGTGAGTACAATGCCATTGACCCGGACCTCTTCATCGAGGACGGCCACATGTACATGGTCTTTGGGAGCTACGAAGAGGGGCTGTATCAAGCGTCGATGAAGAACCCGCCAACTGCGGTCATCCCGAACACGTACGTGAAGCTCGCGTACCAGCCAGCGAAGCCCCATGCGAACGAAGGCTCCAATATGTTCAAACATGGCGGCCACAACTACCTCTTCTTCTCGCACGGCGACTGCTGTGGGTTTGACAAGAAGGACGTGACAGCGATCGACGAGTACAAGATCAAAGTATGCCGCTCGAAGCCCGGGGTCGTGGACTTTCGCGATGCGAAGGGCAGACGCTGCATCGACGGAGGCGGTACGGTCGTGCTGGGGTCGCACGGCGACGTGTACGGACCGGGCGGCCAGGGCGTGTACAAAGACCCCAAGTACGGACCCGTTCTGTACTACCACTACGTGAACAAGAGCATTGGCTATGCAGACGGCCAGAAGCAGTTTGGCTGGAACAAACTCGACTTCTCGAGTGGCTGGCCGGTTGTGAAGCCGTAAAGGTGTTCGAGCGACTTGAACTCGTGGACGCGTGAGGAGCTTAGCGAGTGCGATGGACTGGAAAGACATCCACGTGACTCGAATAGCACGACCCGATCGTTTTCGTGTTCGCTCGAACAGGTAAACATGCAGCGCATCGACTCCAGAGTGTGATGTGTTGTTTCTACTGTTGTCACTGTTGTCTTATTGTCTCGTGCAGCGACTGCAAGTGCATTATCATGTGTACTGTACCATTGAGGTTGTCGCTGTGTGAGTAATCAGCGACGACACGAGCTGTCGTCTGGTTGGAAGAATCCAATAGACGTAGAAGTAGCCCACTAAGCATGTGGCGTAAGAAGCTTCTTGTAGTAAGGCGCGTTGCATGGCGACGTCAGACGTGGCCGACGCCATCTTAGCGTATGATGTGATGGCTGAGCGGTCGTAGATAACGTTCATGAGCCACGAAATCACTTTTCGACGCAGGCGTTTCTGCATTGACATGGCCAAGTTCTCGCCAATGTCCAATGCTGCTACACGACCTCTTTGCATGCACACGAGGTCAAAGACAGCGTAAAGCGCAGTGACATCTTTGCTGCAACTGCTATCAGTGATGTTGGGTTGTATGCGCCCGGTCTGCGACCAGGGAGACCACGAGTTGTAAACAACTTGTTCGATTCCACAACGTTGTACGTTGGGCACTCGAGCTCACACTTGATGTCGTTGCGGCAAAGAGCACACTACATAGTCGCGCATGAGCCGATGCGGCGGTCCTTAATTACACAGACACCTCGAGCTGTTCGCCGTCAAAGAGAGTGCACATCGCACCATTGTAACAACGGCCTGCGTGCTTTATTGTTGCGTCATAGGCTGCTCTACGCACTCCGTCGTTTTGTCATTCTCACCAGACTGCCCACTCCGTAACAAGAAAGAAAAGCGGCACACGCATTGCCCACCTCACCAGTGTCGTATTCCTCTACGAATGTGCTCGCTAGCTCACCATACTTATTGCGCTGTCTACTTCGTCGAATCTACTGCTTCTGAAACAGACGTCTGCGCTGCAAGGCCGTTGTCAAAGTGATTATGCCATGATACAGAGACCAGGCTTGTCTGAGGTGCACATGTACGATCAGCTCGTGTTAACTTGGGCTCTGTGCTAACTTACGCGACTTACAATTGATCGGACGTGGAACGCAAAACCTACGGCAAAAGTGCTACTACTGCTGAGTCAAGCTTGGTATGGTAAGTACATGACATACCAAGTAAGTCAGCATCGTCAACAATGACGAAAGGACAGCTGTCGCTAGCAGCAACCAGCTCTTCTGTCGTAGTTGTCGGATCGAACTAGTGCAACGTCAACCTCATTCCATCAGCACATTGCTCTCGTCTCGCGCGTGCGTCGCCACTTTTATCGACGATTGACTGCCATCGAACAATACATCAATTGAAATCGTCTGTACACTCGCGGCATCCTTTCTACCAGTCGTTTCTGGATGAGTGAGTGTGTGGAATAAGCGCAGTGTTTACGACCTGGAGCCCACGAATGTCATCACTAGATACTTCAACGCTGGGTTTGCGTGATGGACGATTCGGACTGGAGCGTGTATTGCGAGTATGTATCTTGCGTTTGGCAGGTAGTGTGGTGGAGCGAGCAACAAGGCGAACTTCTGCTTGCGCTTGTAATGAAAAGGGCTACTTCCTAAGTCTTGACGATGCAGTGCGCCTTTTCGAGGCCGTCGTCAACGATCCGACCTGCCGGTACGACTGGCGTATCGCTGACAACTGTGTCTTGGATTACAGCATAGCTGGGCAGGGAAGGAGCGGGTTTGTTACGTAACGCACGACCAGATTCTCTGCGATTCTGCCGCGCTACATGCTGCAAAGGCGTGAGTCGTAACGCTGACGTATGATCCTTATCACACATCGGCACTTGGCTGAAAATCAACTCGTTTTTCTACATCATCTGGTGCGTACGTTGTGCTCATCCAGCGGGATGAAGCTCACAACGTGCTGCTTTTGGACGCTCCCTCTTCCATTCGTCGTACCGTCCTCATCGCCTTTGCCTCGGTTGCAAGTGTCTACGACCGGGTACAACCTGTCGCGTAGCTCTGAGACGAGCACGACTCGAAGAGCGTGGATCATAGTGTCAAGCTGATGGACTGGTCGAAAGCGTTGATCGCCAACTTCGACTCACGGTCTTGAAGCCTGTCGAATGCCAAATAGGTGATACATGAGGTCGAGCACACTTTACACCTGACCGGGCACGCACAAGCATTCCAACGGTACGTCAAATACAATTTCTCACAACACTGCACAAGGTTGCGGCGTCGAGAGCACTTTGTCGACTAGGTGAAAGTCGTGGTGGATCCACATCGTTACTGCCAAGCTGAGCGCCAGCAGGTACGTGCAATATTGCCAGAAGCTTTACGACGAACAAAAACATGTACACCGCATGCTATTCGTTTACACAACGGGATAAGCCGACGACCAATGGTGCCCGCCCTGCATTTGAGCCACAAATTGATGGTCTCGCGTTCATTACTGGCTACCGAAGACGGGTAGTCAGCTCAATCACTATCTGGCTTTATGGCTCGATTGGCAACGTCGGAAGGGCGCCGTCCATGGCGACAGTGCGCCGGCTCGAGAACTGTACATTCTATCGAGCGACTTCTTATTCGTGGACGTGTCATCTTCGCGCACACGCGATAGCTGTGACGTACACGCGATAGTCGTGTGTTTCTCTGAAGACTTTGTGCTCGTAGCGTCCGTTGACTCTTGTACCAACTGCAGCATAAACACGTTGTCTCGCTATGTTCCCGTCCCCCCCATCAAGAATAAACCACGTTCGACGATGTATGTGCCGCTCACGAATTGATCCTCTGCGATTGATTATGGTCGTCAACGTCGTCAGTCCGTCGGTCGGTCGGTCGTCAGAAACGTGACGCGGGACACACCATCCTCTGGATACTGCGGTTCGGGGTACGTGATCGAACTCGAGGCTAACCCTACCGTCGTTTGCCACCGTGGACGAGTCGACGTCGGGTTGTCATACTTAATTCTTCCACCCGCCATCAACGCTGCAGCACAACGCACCTGTCACTTTAAGTTTCGACAGCGCCGTTTCACTAGCCCTATCCGCTCTTGCACCACGCCAAGTTTGACAGTGAGGTGTGTCGGATCTATAAATTAATTACCGCCGGCCCGGCGCTGCCTCTCAATCTTTGTCAATGGAGGGAATTGCGCACTTCGTGAGTGCCGCAATGGGAAGCGCCGACGACGCCGACAACGTACAGGGCAAGTGGATCGGCCTGGGCATTGTCATCAGCTCTGCCGTGCTCTCGAACTTGGGCGTCAACGTACAGAAGCTCTCGCATGTGCGGGTAAGAGCACCCTCTTAGTTGATTCCCGTCATCGTCTCTCTCTCTCGGCGTTGGTGCGCGCTGCAGTGCGCACTCGAGATACCTGATACCACCTTCCGTGCGCACTCGAGATACATGATATACGCAATGGTTGCATTGTGCATGTCGAGTGCGCACTCGAGATATGTGATATCCAGTCACTCACTCCCCTAACTGTTGTTTGTTGTGTCGGTTGTGTCTGTTGTATCTGTTGTGTGTGTGTGTATCACGTGTCAGGAGGAAGAGAAGCCCTTATTTGAGCGCCAGACGTACTACACGCGTCCGCTGTGGCTCACGGGTTTGATCCTCGTGGTGTTAGGCGCCGTCGGAGACTTTGAAGCACTGGGCTTTGCCCCGCAGGCCCTCGTGGCGGCCGTGGGCGGTGGCTTCACAGTGCTGGCCAATGTCTTCTTTGCGCACTTGTGGTTAGGGCAGATCTTGACCAAGACCGATGTGCTAGGCACGCTGCTCATCATTATTGGCGTCGTACTTAGTACGGTCGCCAACGAACCCGACGAACAGCTGTCGCTCGGCGAGCTCGAGTTCCAGTTCTACCAGCTCGGGTTCCTCATTTATCTCGGCGTTATGGTACGTGCATCAAGAAACGAAGAAGAGAAGAAGAGAAGAAGAGAAGTGAAGCAAAACGAGAGAGACGCAATTGAAATGGACATATTGACATATGCTGTACCCATGTTGCAGACCGCTGTGCTCGCTGTGATTTTCGCCCAAATTGACGCCATTCTAAGACTCCCCCGATCGCCCAACGAGGCCAAGTACAGAGTGCTGCCGTTCATGTACGCGACGGCGTCGGGGATCTTTGGCTCGTTCTCGGTGCTGCTGGCTAAGGTACGACGAGTGTGTCAGTGGACTGACTCGCCACTTGTTTGATGCTTGTGGGTGGGTTATTGCTCACAGCAGAGGAGCTGCGTTGGGCTGCTGTCTTCTTTTGTGTGTGTGTGTGCATAGTGCGCGTCGATTCTGATCATCCTGACGATCGGTGGCGAGAACCAGTTTGTCTACTTTACGACGTACCTGTTCATGGGCGGCATGATCTGCACGCTCGTGCTGCAGACGGACCTGCTGAACCGGGCGATCATGGCGGGCGATACGCTCAGCGTGTTTCCGATGTTTCAGTGCTTTTGGATTGGAGTACGTGTTTGCTGCTTGTTTTTCTCGGACCGAAGAGGAGTTGCTTGGGGCAATTGGAAACTGACAAACGTGCTGCACTTTGGTAGTCCAGTGTCATTGGTGGCGTCGTATTCTATGAGAAGTACACGCGTTTCTCGCTCTTCGACTGGATCTGTTTGCCGATCGCGCTAGCATGTACGTTCAAAGTGTCGATGGAGCTATCTCTCGCGCTTTGTGTCACATGGCTTACGTCAGGACGCTGTGTTCTTTGTCCAGTTATCATTGTGGGCATTTACTTGTTGTCAAAGCACGGAGAAGGCGAAGTTGATGATCTGGATGGCCCGGAGCTCAGCTCTCCGCTCCACCTCGCGCACTTGACGGGCCATTTCGGCGCCCTCATACCTCTGTCGCCGCAAGGCCGCTCGTACAGCACATTTGGTCGAAAAAGTTTCGATGATCGCGAAAGCGAGTACGCTTCAGTGCGCTACACGCCCTTGAAGAGTCGTGTTTTTGACCGCAATGGGCATTCAAGCGGATGTGTCAATGAACACGACCACGGGCAAGCAAAGGACAAGTCTGACGGCGAGTGGCATGGTCCTCACGGTCGAAGACACCATGATGCTCATCTCGAGGAGCAGCCTGTGTATAGCGGATCAATTTAGTACAAGAGCTACAAGAGCACTTTGACGTCGTGACAAGGGGTGTGTGTGCACATAGTAGGACCAGACTTGTAAATGGGAAGAATAGAAGTAGAATGGATGGCGCGTCGGTGCTGGAGATGTATCAAGTTGGGCTCGACGAAAGCATTGACAGCGGCAGCATGTAACGATGAAGTCAGAGAACGCAAGAGGTAATTGAAGGCGAATGGAGAACTGTAGTGTAAAGTGTGGCTATAGCTTGCAAATAAGCGAAAAGACCCCACATTTGAGCCCGTGTCGTTTTGGTACATTTCCTATTCGCGTCGTCGTTGATACGCTGTTGACTCGTCGGACCTGCAGCGATCAGGCGTTGTCCTGTCTATTTGACGAGGCAAACTCTGTGGACCTCAATCCTCATCACTTTGTCCCGGACTAGAGTGTCAATGTTGTCGCCGATATGGATCCAATCGTGCGTTTGTCGAGAGCTTTATTCGCTGCTTTGCAATTGAACACGGCGATGACATGCTCGACATGAAGATTCCACCCCAGCACAATTTCATTCATAGACTTTTCTTTTGCTTCACGAATACTACCCATCGACAATCCACAGCAAGCGCAATGTAGCTCAACGTAGAGTCGAAGTATGAGTGAGTGATCAGTGAGTGGTCAAGGGGTGGCCGTGGACGATGAACGAATCTGCAGCTGTCTTGCGAGTGCACAATTGCACAGCTGTAAACAACGGCTTGTCGTAGTTTTGGATGCATGTAGCGCTACCGCCGCACTCGGCACCTGATACCTGCAAGTAGGATACATCTTCAGGTATGGTACGCGGGATGCGCAGTGCACCTCATCAAACACTAAATTGCAAGCAACAATGCACATTCGGCGCGCCGTCATGCATCAGCATCGATTCAACGGGAGTAGTTATCCATTAAACGTGAGGAGTCATCGATTCAAGGTTTATCACATTTGTCGGATCTATCTTCGCATCAACGTGCTATATACTGGCGATCCATTCGTAGGAAGAAGTTCGGATAGCTTATCAGATGTGCCTCAACTTTCGTGAGACACGATGACTCCAGGAGCTCGCAGCATGGACGAGATCTGTCTCACTTGGTAAAAACTGCAAGTCGGTCTCGCGTATATGCGGCGACCGGCAGAGCAAAGCCCATTTACGCAAACAGACACATCGTCGATTGATCGTGTTCGAGCTACCACTTATTTGCGTACGCTACGCACACTGATAACGCACCTGGACTCAAACCCCGCGCATAACCTTTCCATGAGGATAAAAGAGGTCGTGAATTGCTCTATAGTTGGAGCGATTCCAGAGAGAGATGTTTCTACCTCAAAGTATTTGAGAATGCGCCAATCGAAGCCATCCGAGACCGTTGCTCTCATGGCATTCCAAGATTACACAGCTGCGAGAAGCGTTTGATGGGCTTGTGCAAACGTATACAAAGTTCATATCTCAGGTCATGAGAATTCGCGCAATGACGTCCGTCCACTCGAGTTGGGGTGTCCGACATACTAAACGAATGAATAAAATTGACGCTCCAGTGACATCATTAATTACAAGTCAAAGAGCTGCGTCAGGGAACAGCAGATGTATCGAAAGAAGCGGAGGAAGTGTGAGTGCCGGTTAATGAGGTCACAGGTTGTGCAATAAAGCATCGAACAGCATGAACGACGATACAGAACTGCTCGTTGTTGTAATTGAAACAGACAAAATCGACTGCCGACAGCGCGATACCAGCTTGTTGAGCTAGTTTGCTGCTACAGACTAGTCACGTCATCGTTGATCGCGCATCAAAAAGCCATCGTAAGCGCTTCAATCGAATCCGACAGACATCCACCACAGCTGTGCATGCAGTAAGTCGAAATCAAAGAAAGTGCGCTGATGATTCTGTACCACATCGACAAGTATACGCTAGCGAAGCGGCTCGAACCGATATGCACTGACTTTGGTGACCAGAATGACCATTCCGAGTCTCTAGCTCGCATTGGAACGACCATTGCATCCTCTTACGTGTCGCGGACGCTTGCGCACATCTGTCAATGATCTTTCTTTGCCTCGTCCAGGCTGCACGAGACACAGCCTGCGTCAAAGAGCAAGCAGCGATGCTTTGTTACACAAACAAAGACGGCAGCACGGAAATTGGCTGTCACTGGTCAGAGGGTGATTGGCTTCGATCCGCGTACAAAAGAGATAGCTTAGCTGAAGTGACAGAGGTACTGGCTGCAAAATGACAGACACTATTGCACCTCTCATGACAAATTCGAGCGCAACATGCCAAATGTGGCACTTGGCGCTCGCATTAGATAGTAGAAATGGAAAGTCAATCTGTTCAGTGCTATTGACAAACAATTCAACCATCGAATTGAGACGCAGCAAACTCAGTAGATGTTCGAGCAGAAGCACTTTTGTGCAAGCACGATCGACACTCCCTGCATATGCCCTTGTCCTACGATGTACAAACAGTAGATGACACTATAAGCGGTCAACGACGACCATAGCAACAGAATTATGAACACTAAATGTATACAATCACTAGATGAGGTCAACGACAACCTCGTGGAAGTTTTCTCAAGTCAATCGCAGAGCACTAACTGAAATTATAAATTTAGGGGTGGGCTGAAGCATTAAGATAGACGTAAGCTGCTACAACTTTTGTCCTTTTCTTCTTTGTGTCATATGCCGAGTACCTTATCTCCTTTTTGCAAAAAATTAAGGTTACGTAATTTACTTTTGCACGGTGGCGCGTTTAAGTCGGTAGCCGAAGTAGAACCGGTGGATACGGCAAAGTGTAGGATTTGTACAGCCCACTTTTGATTTTGACCATCACATTGCACATTGGCTGCCAGGTAGTTTTAATATGCTATCGTTTATCCACAACGTGACATTGTCGATCACGGTAAAGTGGCGAACGGATCGAGCTCGCCAACAAGCTCCGAAGTGTCACAGAGTATGCATATGCAATCGTGTACTCACATACTTCCAGCCAAATCTCATCAGGCAACAAACGATAACAGCGTCATACCACAAAGTGTACGTAGTAGCGGAGGTGAAGATACACTGCATGCCATTGTTCAACTCTTCAACTCTCGGCAAAAGTAAGCTGCTTGTTAAGCGCTCACCATATCCGATTGCTTGTAATTATACATCCTGATGATCTTTAGCACATGTTTCCGCACGTAAATTTGGAGCCATGCCGAATCACCATTTCATGCGTAGCTTTGATTGACACATTTCCAACACCCATAGCTCAGCGACTTTCACAAGCTCAGTCTCGCACGAGACGTCTTATGACAACCTCGCGATGCTTCAGTTACAGCATAGGAGCTGTCGGTCTTGTCTTTGTGGTAATCCCAGAGCTGGCAATACATTTTTCATGGAGCGCCGGTGCGTGCAGGTGCTGACGCTTGACACTGGATGGTGTCTGTGAGCAAACATAACTACCGCGTCGTATTTTGATGATTCCTCAGCACATTTACAAGTCTAATTTATCGTCATCCGTCTATCTTATAGCATAAGCGTTGACCGCGCCATACTATCACGCGTGATCGCCCAGTAGCTTATCGATGACGTGCATCTTGCACAAATCTATCAAATCTAATTTGTGGCGAAGAGAGTCGACGAGTCTAAAGCTATCGTATGGTCGCCCAGATGTCGTGGCGAAGAGAGTCGACGAGTCTAAAGCTATCGTATGGTCGCCCAGATGTCGTGGCGAAGAGAGTCGACGAGTCTAAAGCTATCGTATGGTCGCCCAGATGTCGTGGCGCTCGCTCTTTTCCTTTCCTCATTGTACCCGGCTACCACGTGTCGTACCGCATGTAGATAAAAAAAATAGCTGCAACTTCTAGGCTGCTTTACCATCATTACGAACGACCTGCGCAAAGGCAGCTCTAGCAGACAAGTGTTGCATTGGTAATGGCAAACTTCGGACTGCAAAAGAGAGCTGTGGGTCCTCAGCAGATCGCATGCTCCGAATTTGCGTTGTGTTCCGAAACAGCACGAGCTGTAGGTATGACGAAACACACGATACGACAATGCATTGGTCGTCAAAGCAAACGGAGCCACGTTCTTAACTTTCGCCAGCGTTGTCAATGTCGACCCGAGACAGACAAAGCGACACAGAACAGTTATATCGACCGGGCCCTAGGACCTACGCGCAGCAGAATCGGGCCGCCCGATTGTTGCGACCCTTCTGTCTACTGATCTGATTCTCATGCTGCACGCGAGCAGGTGGCAATACCGTCCAAAAGCTTCTAGCAGCGCCAATTCAATCAAAGTGAAGTCCGCCGGTAAGCGGCCGTGAAATCGACCAGACCACCTGTGACGAGAGTGCGTTGACAGCAGATCATGTGACCGGTAACTGCACTACATAATCACGCACGAGCACGAAAGAGAGACTTTTCGTCTAGTCTAGCGGCGAGCTGCCCCCCGATTGGGAGTTCAGCAAAAATTGCCACTTCCGGGAAGAAGCAGACGATTGTGTTCCGTTTCTTGGGGCGTCAGCAGGTTGTGCCGTCACAGAATGCGTTCATCAGCACAACGTGAGCTCCCTTCGACAACGACGGTTGGAGTCCCAAGATGGAAATACGCCGCATACTATAGTCCGTGCTGTCAAACTTGTACGTAGAGGAGCGCGAGCAAACGAATTGACTCGGATGAACTCGCAAGCTGCTCCTTTTCCATGACCGTACAGTACCGCAACGACAGTCACATTAGTCTGAGACCAACGATTCAATCCGTCTACACGCTTCAAGCTCTACATCAAACGCCTGTCGTCTTCTTGGCCCGCTTTCGATGCATTGGCAACGACTCGAAGCTTTCTTTATCTGTTGAAACACGCCCGCGCCTCTTCCTGACGTGCTTGGGTGCACCTCGATGCGAAAGCTCTGTCTCGCTCTTGTCCCCTGTCGTATCCTCACCCACACTGCTTTGTTTCTTGTCCGTAGACTTGATCCGCTTCACTTTGCTGACACTCGGCTCGGGATTTGCCGAGTCGAAAGCCATGTCTTCGCCACAGACGCGCTGCAATTCGTCCTCGTAGGCTTTAACAATCTCGGGCACATCGAGACGCAATTTCTCGGCGTTTTCCCACGTGTCGTAGCTGCTGGAGTATTTTTCCCACCGCACGAGGTACTCCTTTTTGTGGTACCGCACACGATGACAAACGATGTGGTCGACATTGTACAGCGCCGTTGCCTCGTCGTCTTCACTGCCTGCGTCTTGCACCTCAGTTTCGTAACTCTCGTGACTCGCAGAGCGCACCGATTCCGTACGACGAGCTCCTCGAGTCTGTTTTCGGGCCGCACGCGTGCTACCTCCTGCTTGCAACGTCGCAGCGTACGTATCGATCAGGTCCTTAGTTTTCGGCGGGCACCGGCGGCGTGCGATCCACAGGGGTGTATCTCTACCTTGCCACTGAATGAGATACTCTTTACACTTCCCATACGTGCGCACATCCAGAACTTGGTCAGCCACGAGACTAGCAGCAGCTTTTTCCCCAATGCGGTCCTTCCGTCGAGCTGCATAAGTCACTCGACTCTGCGGTGCTAGCGATAGCCGCGTTACTTTCGTGAGCACAGGCTTCGGTCGCGGAGACGCGTCGGTCGCGACGGAACGCGGCAACTGCTCGTGCGTCTTCCCCTTGTCCACGGCACGCATAGCAGTCGTTTTCAAGTTGTTGGCGATCAACATGTCGTGGAACGCGTCGTTCGGGATCCCATCGTCCGACTCGTCGCCACCTGCACTCGCTTTTCCATCACCTTTTTCACCGTCGTCGCTTGCAACGCTCGACAAAGCGCCTGCAGCGCTTGTTGCAGCAGTTACCATATCCTCTCGCTGCTGTTGCTCGTTGGGCAGTGCCTCTTGCCCCAGACTTGCTCGGGGCGCACACGCCCAGCCGCTCATGTCGTCGACAAAAGCTTGAGGCATTGCCAAACCGTCGTCGTCGTCGTCATCGCCGTCGTCACCGTGCTCCAAGTACCGGTCCAACGAGTCCTGCGGCCGCTCGGTACCTTCTTCACGAGCGCCGACATCGACACCAACATCGCCTTCCCATTCCTCAGCGTCACGAGTGCTACGGCTCTCGTTACTGCGGTCCGCTCGTCGCGCTCTCTTGAGCGCGGGCAGAACCGCTCGGAAGAAACAGTCGTTCAGCACTGCCGTCAACTCGTTCACGCTCTTGTCATTGGCCCGCATCATGTTCACGTGGTGCTTCGCGTCCTGGACGAGACCCGCCGCTTCGCCCCGTACCGCCGGCGTCATCAACAGACGCTGCAGCGTCTTCAACAGCTGTGTCTCGTCTTTCTGCCGCTCCATCAGTCGCACCCACGTCGTAAAGCTGCAGCCACAAGCACACCAACAGGTCAGTACGGAGACCGAGCAGGTCATATCGTTCGTGCAACATAAGCGCAATGACCCGCCGCGCGCTCTCGCGACACGTACAACTCCTTCTCCCACTCGTCATCACTTGATGGCAAAGGACCGCTGGGCCACGTGGCGACAGTCATGAGCGAAGGCGCGAGGGCTGCCACGTCGACGGGACAAGGGCATCAATCACTTGCAGCGGGTCGACGGCCTTCGAGCAACTTGCGCGCGCGAGCGACGACTTTTTCTGCACCGTAGTTTGCCGATATGACGCCGCGCAGCTGGTTGGATATGATGAAGTGGAGGGTACACTTTGAATAGGGGTGCGCGGTCGCGATGGTAGCCGCAAGTTTTAACGGACGGTAATCGGCCGTGATTGCCCTTTTTCTCGGGATATACCGGTTGCAAGCGACAAGTAGTGACGTCCACGAGGCCAATTACACACCGACTGCGAGGCCATTGAGCCGCCTGTGTAGGACCAAAACGGACGAGCACATCCGCGGCTGATTACCGACAGCGATGTGTACTCGCCAATGATGCATTCATAGAGCTGTTATTACTTGCTGTGACTAGAAGGTCAATTAACTTCTCACGCATCGAGTCACGTCACATACGTTTGCTCATTCATTATATACAGCTCTTTCTTTGCTCTGAACCAATCTCACAAGCTCATCGGTCGTCGAAACACCCACAAAAGTACCTCAACTTTCTACAAGCTGCAACACCTGCACGACTTGGGTGTATGTATTCATACTCTCTACCTTATCGCATGAATATAAACATCGCAACGTCTCTTTGCTTCGCGTGCAATGCTTCCACGTTCTTGCCAGAACAAATCATCGTTATGCTGGACATGTCAACCACGGCCGCGAAAGCGATCCCATAATTATCTCTATGAACCATCGCGCTTACGCATGCAGCATATCCCGCTCTCAATCGATCCGGCATTGCGTAATGTGGCGCGCTCACACTTTTAAGCTCATTTCTAGATTTGTCTCGGACATTTATGGAGCTCTCACAGTGCTTGGACACCCAAGGCTCTCAGAAACTAGCGATTCTTTCGACCTTTATTACATCCACTATTCTTAGCAACTACTACGCATGGCCTCACCAAAGTTTCATTGCGCTTCTGTTTCGGTAGTGATGACCACATCATCCTCAGTGTTTGCATTGTCAGTGTCTTGTCTACGGCTGGAAAGTTCATTCGTGCCCGTCGACCTCGTCAAGTCCTCGTGTTTTTCCGTCCACAGAGAGTTTTGTGAGAACTTTCTTTTTATCCCTTTTATCCTCGCGGTCCTCGATGTATCGCTGTCTTGGTCTATATCACGCGCGATCTAATTGTCAGTCACAAGCACTATTTCAGCATATGCAGTTCCTGGCATTCAGATGTTTTATGGATCATTAAATGTCTGAGTTTTCTTCTTGAAATAATTGTAGGAAGAAAATCCTACTATGGTAAAAAGCACAATACAGTATTGATTTACTCGCTGAAGCCAAGAACAGATACTTGCTAGCCCGCTAGCCAAGAAGTTGTTGCTCAAATCTTTTTTAAGCGTGTATGGCCATCCAATGACCATAATCTCACGCGGTTGTCTGTGTCTACAGCATCATTACAAGTGGCGGCTTTTTCAGTATATGCACTCTTGGGGCCCGGAATATAGTTTATGCAGCGTTTTTCACCGCTACCTCGGATACTAGGCGGTAAACAACGACCTACGAACATCATCATATGAGCCAAATTCATGACACATACGATGCATTCGATAGAAATCAACATGCTGACTTAATTGCTAGGTCCTCTTCTTTGTCTTGATGCGCACGTCCTCTTGCAACATGAATTGTTGCTATGGTACTTTGCCTGTGGGTACATGCGAAGAACGTGCATCTGACAGCTAAATCATATTTTGTAAAGTAGCAGATGAGGTCCAACCTCTTATTCACAGCACTTTATCACGTTTCGGGGTCGGGTAAACGTCCACCTATCGGATCATAGTCAAACACAAGTAAGCACGCATCGGCCGCTCAGACGATCCCTCGAGGTCGACGGAACGTTGATGTGCGAGAACAGACAATTTTAATTCTATCGATGCATTTGTGCTGTAATATATATCGGATCGACCATGGCACCTTGGTCAATTTACCTCGAGCACAAGTTATACGACTTGCTTTCTACTCGCCTATAAGCGGTGTCAGGAAAAGTGTCACTGTGCATCTCTTCGATGGTGGCAAAGTTTCGGTGTCCTAGACGACGTAAATTGCACTAGATTGCCTGAAGGATGCTGAAATGTTATTTACCACTGGAACCACAAATACGAGGCCGAAACAATACAAAACAAATCAAAGACCTCATCTTCATACACTTCTGCACTAGAATTCTTGTATATGTACACATATATAGTTTTAATGCGTACATCCTAATGTTCATTGCGTTTCAACGCTTTTGGCACTATTTACATCTCATACAAAACCACATTATGGACAAACCCTAGAGCAGAGAATAAACTCGTCAGTGTCAGCATACGGTCAGCTTTACTAGCCGTACATATCTTTATCTACGTGCTCTTTCTTTTTAGGTCGACTCTAGTGTGATGACATAAAGGCTGAAGTGATGTAAATGTCATGGAACAGCATTGCCAGCTACGACTCACCGCTGACCAAATGTAGGCTACACCCATGACTGATGATCCAAGTACAATCTACAGACTTCACTCAATTCCATGACAAGTTTCTTCGATATATGAGTTGATTTAAGTACGCATTGACGCTATCAACAATACCCGACCTTATTGCACGAGTGACATCGTCTCACTATATTTCATGGCAATTGTCTGATAGAGCCAGCGATTTCTTTGCAAACTAATTTCGCTTTTCAGTATGCAACCCTTGTAACGGGGCAGCCCGTTACATGAAATTGTCACTTTAAGGAAAGTGACAATAAAGAATATAAAGATGGATATTCTTTAAACAATATCACCAAAGTGGTGATATTGAAGGGTCGACCAAAGGGTCTGTTCATTGGTTGATATCGAGATGATATCAACCCACCAATCGCCGCAAGACGCGCGCAATGAGTGGTGACGAGACGTCACCATACATCCAGTTATATTAGTATAGTTAAACTAAGTCAAACGAAGAGACAGTAGTTTAAAGACTTAATTATATTAATATAACAGTTCTACTTTTACCCTACCTACGCTTCCTCGCTTGCCACGTGTACGTCCGTCGGGGCACCGAAAACCCTTGCGTTAAGTTACGCAAGGGTGTGCCCCGTTACACCTGGTAGCACTTTGTAGTCCTTCCAAGGACCACATCATCCAACATGAACATGTTGGATGAAGAAGACACCTTTCACGCCACGCGTGAAGGGTTTACCCATTTGAGTGACATCGAATGGGGTGCGGTAGAACGAATGAGTTCTACCGTGGGCGAACTCGTCGTTAGCGCCATGTTGGAGTCTCTAGACAGAGACCAACAACATGCCGCTATTGCCAAGTTCATTCAGAATGAACTTGCTCTCGAGAGGGAGAAAGTAGCCTTGCTTCACCAGCAAGGCTCTCAACAGGCCGAGCAGTTGAGAGAACTCGGTGCTCAACAGACGGAGCTGTTGAGACAGCAGCAATTCCATGCTGCTGTGGGCGGGACGGCGCATGCGCGTCGTCCCGAAGTCATGAAAGTTGACATCTCCAAGTACAGTGGAGTCCCGGAGGACTCCCTGTTACTATGGTTTGTCGAACTCGACAGAGCCCTAAGGGCTCGTCGCGTCGAAGATGAGCAAATGAAACTCACATTTGCTCAGACCCACTTGGCAGGGCGTGCCAAAACTTGGTCCCTGGGACTCGAGAGTAGCGACCCAAATGTGTTTAGGTCGCTAGATGACTTCAAGTCCCGGCTCAGACAAACGTTTGAGCCGCCACGGGCTGAGTTCAGGGCTCGTTCAGAGCTCCTGAAACTCAAGCAGGGTAAGCGTGATGTGCACGCTTACGCACAACATATACGACTCCTTGCGAGTAGTATAACTGCCAACCCAGTCCATGAACACACGTTGATTACGGTGTTCATGCAAGGGCTCGCAGAAGGGCCCGTCAGGAGCCATCTGTTCCGCCTTGAGCTGAATACGCTTGAAGAAGCGATATCAGCCGCGGAACAGGAAGACTTTAGCATGAGACAGGCTCATGCTAGCTCAAAATCTTACCGTCCACCGAGACGACACGAGATCGGAGGTCCAGAACCAATGGACCTCTGCTATGTTGAGAGCGAGAGACCTCGCTCTTCGAACAACAAGCGATTGCAGAGGTGCAATCGCTGTCAGAAGTTAGGGCACTACGCATACGAGTGTAGTGCTCCACGCCCAGTACCAAACAGTACTGAGCGAAATGGACGAACATTCGCCAGAAAGGGCAATGGGCGTGGGTCCAGCGCTGTTGCGAAGCCGCAACAGCGAGACGGACCATCAAAAAATGGTCGGGGTCAGTAGGGGCGGAGCGCCCTACTGATCCAGCAACCTCAAGAGAATTTGCAAATCTCTTGACGAAAGTTGCTCCAGATACACAATCATTGTGTGTCTCTGCACCTGGTGATGACGTTTCGCTCATCACCTTGAAGTTGGAAGCGACAAATGATTTGTCGCTTCGTGCCCTAGTAGACTGTGGGGCGTCGAACAACTTTGTTCGTCGCCAGTCACTAGAGGGTCGTAGGCTCAAGTTCGTTGAGCGCGACATTCACCTCACAAGGATGACGGTGCGCCTTGCAACAGGCGCATCGATTACCGTTGAGAAACGTGTAGTAGGAATCCACTACACGTTAGAGGGCGAACAGTACGATGATGACTTCATCGTGCTAGATCTGGATGACAAATTTGATGTCATCCTGGGATTACCTTGGCTCAGAAAGTACGAGCCAAGGGTGAGCTGGCAGCATCGATCCGTGAAGATGCCTGCCGCTTGTTCATCAGATGGCCATCTGATGAACATCTTGGAGCGTCCACAAGCGTGTGGATGTTCTGCGAGTGAGTGCGATGGCCTCACTTGCGGTACGGTCGTTAGCACGACGGCACAAGATCACAGTGTAGTTGATCACTACACTGTGGAGCAAGCTCCCGGCGGCTGTACAGATGTACAGGCTGCGCCGAAGGTCCACCACTCGA